CATTATGTTATGAAATGAACACTTTTTTAAAAAAAAATTTACTGAAAAGGCCCCCGCCCACTCATCATTACAACAGTTGTGTGCTTAGCGACCGTATAACTTCTACATATTTTCGAGTAACGCGTTTCCTTTATTGTCAATGTATTTATTACTATTATTAATGTTATTATACGTATATTATATTACTCTATTAATTTACACTTATGTGATAACTGAATAACACATGAAAAAGATGCATATTAGTAAGTTACATTTACGCCGTGATCAAATATTTATATGGCACAAACAATATTTTATTCAACTGCAGCTGTCCTAACGAGTTGATTGAACAGAAAGACATCCCCCCCATCTCCCACCCACGCCCATCCATCCCCCTCCATGTTTGAAAAATGTTTTCTACATATTATTATAATTATTGTAATCTCATCACGTGTCTATCGCGAATTACAAAATATATGGTTTATAATATAGAACTGACTACTGAGAGCTGATAACAGTTGACCGTTGGTTTTTATTGTACACATTTGAGTAATAGGTATGGGTAATAGAGAGCTGAGGGTCTTACATATTATATAGATTGTTGAATATTTGTATTATTCTAGAGCCCCGCAAACCGATTCCAAATGAGCTTAAAAAAATAATTCAATTTTTTTAAAAAATATTATTTGATTACTCATCTTTATATCTCTCTGAAACACGTTTCGTTTGCTTGGTTTATACCAGTTGCGCCAAAGTCCATTTTATACACACCTGGATTGTTTTATGTAGGTAAGATCTTTGGTTTTTTTATTGTTTTGATCCTTTAAAGAATCAAAGATTTATTTTTTCAGAGCGCTAAAAACATACTTCAACGCCACTTGGCTTTACTGAGCTAGATTTCTAATGTGCACGGTTATTTTTCTTTTGTCTATTATTATCCGCGCTAACCCTAACTGGGGCTCACATTTTTTCACGACCTAAGTCCAGAATAACTTATCAGGACGGTACAATGCGTTAAAAATCAACCAACGAATTGAGTTTGAAAAACTCAAAACGCGTTTCGCTCTGCACAATATGTGCATTAATTGTTTTCAGATAGGTCTTTCCGCCCAGGTTTTCGGTTATACACGACTACTTGTTAATTCCTCGTAGCGGTTCATCGCACGTAGCTAGGTAAATGTTTTAAATAATTATTTTTTCTCTTTAACTACCTTTTTTCAAATTTCTATTCACATGCGTGCAAGTCGTCGTTGTCCGGACGTTCTAATACTTATTATTTTTTTTGGTAGATTTCGTTTGTCAGTCGGCTTATACGCACACTATATTATATTGTATGCACGGTATGCCTATATTCCTATATAATATTATGTATAATTACAAATGAATATTCAAACGGTACTCGAAGTTCTCTTACATAGTCTTATTTCTAGTTTTTTTTTTTTTTTTTTTTTTTTTGTGAATATCCTTAATAATGACGGGCATTCATATTGTTCGTCATGCGTTACCCGACCGCCGACGACCATAACGTGACGAGGAAAATATATTTGTTTCATTAAGCCCGACTATTATTAGGTCTCTCATTAGTACATTATATAATCCCACATAACCAACAGGTAAACAATATACATCTTGCATACATATATATATATATATATATATTAGGGTAGTTAAACAAAAAACCTTACTTTAGAATATTGTTTGCAGCACCCCCCTCTCCCCGATTTTTTTCTATGACATAAAATATAATTCTTGTGAAAATTTGGTTTCGATTACTCAACCCCTTCACGTGCTGCATCGGGGTTTAAATTTAGCTAAAGAGGGTCCTGAAAATTTCAACCCTGATGCGAAACATGAAGGGCTCGAGTAATCAAACCCAAATTTTCACATAAAATGTGTAAATTTCTAATTGGGATCTCCGTAAAAACACTTAGAAAAACAATAAAGGAGGTAAAAATTCATAGAAAAATCGAAAACGGGAAAAAACTACCACTGTATTAAAAATAGTTAAATAATTATGTGTAAAAATAAAATAATTTTCCGTTTTCGACTTTTCTATGAATTTATAGCACTTTTTTTTATTTTTCTAAGTTTTTTGTATTTAAGGAGATCTCAATTTGAAGTTTACACATATTATATTTTTATAAAATAATTTCTTAGAATTTCCTTCATTATGAAAAAAAAATATTAGAAAAATTCTCAAATTTTGGGTAACACGAAAAAAACAACTTTTTAGATTATAAACTCAATTTTAATGACTTCCTGTTGCACGAAAAAATAAATCAATATATTTTTCAGGAAGCTGAGATTATTTACTCTATACTATAAAAAACGATAAAAAAGAGGTGTCAAGACAAAAACTCAAAATATTTTTACCTGGATTAACAATCCGACTTATTATTAAATAAAAATATTATCAATAATATTCAATTTTGACTATTAACAGAAAAACCCTCCAACAAATTTAATTGACATTACAATAGTTTAAATAGATCGTCGAAAATTCGTTTACTGTTGAGATTCAAGATCGTGACAAAGTTACGTGATGACGCATACAAAACCATACATAAATAAATGCAAAGTGCAGGATTCGTAATTTGAACTAAAAGCTGAAAAGAAACTAAAAAATGTTTAAACAAAACAATATATAAGACAAAAAAAAAACAAATTGATAAATTAGCTAATTACCTGCAGTATTGAACAATATTAAACGTTTATTTTTTTTAGAGATCTATCAACTTTTAAAACCTTAATTGACATTTTTTCAAAACAAGAATCAATATACCTAAGTTTATAAATTTTGAGTTTCGTAGAATTTCTCTAGCACGTCAAATTGTTTTTGAACTTGACTCCAAAGTTGATAACAACTTACAAAACAAAATTAGAAAATTTCCAATCTTCTTTTGTGTATAAAAAATTAAAGTTCTACACTTTTCCTAATAACAACTTTGAATTTACCAAATAAAAAACAAAAACTTTAGAAAATTATTCGAACGTAGGTATAGAACACGCTAATATAGCACGAACGGTGTTTTTATCATTATGGAGACGATTTAAAAAATAACAATACGTGCTAAAGAATATTCTGAGAAGAACTTAAAATAGTTAATATATTTTTCTTCATTTAATTTAACATAGAAATAAAATTTTCAATTTCAGAAGATTTTCTAGAGATATTTAAATAATATAAATCTTGATTTGATTTACAAAAAATCAAATCATGATACAAAAAAAATTGAAATTTCATTTTTAATAATTCTAAGTTCTACAATATGTATTTTAATATAATTTAAAGAATTATTGGAAAATTGCAGATTGAGTCGTTTTAACTTTCTTTATTTGAACAATACTAATAATTTACTATAGTTACTGTCAAGTAAAATTAACTCGTTAAGTTACTGATAGGATTTTAATAAATAAAAAAACAGTTGACTAACAAGTAACAAACGTGAAAATTACTAAGTTACAAAAATCAATAATTTTGAAACTAGCTTTGCGCAGTGATCAAAATAGACTGTACAAAAAAATTATTTGCCAATTTATTTTAATTTTAAAATTTATAAAATATTTTTTCTTAAATATTGCCTATATAAAAACTACACTCCTAAACTCCTTAAAAATGGTCGGTATCCAGGGGCCAAAGATGATGCGGTATTTAGGGATTGTAAGTGGTGGAAAATCCCTCACGAGTCTGTTTTCTCTAAAACTCGTTTGATGTTTAAGCTCCCTAATATTTTTGGGAGATTTGCATTTATGTATATATTTTTAATTTTATAGGTTTTAAATAAATATTTGAAGTATTTTATTTTTTGCTTAGCGATGAGTGATCTGTGACGACTGTTCGCAGTCGTTCAAGTATTCTCGGTAAACCACTGTTGCCATGTCACACAGCCGAATAACTATTGCGTGACGGCAGAAGCCAGACAAAAGTCTTTATATAAAATATACATCTAGGTACATAGGCGCTGATATTTGTGTACCAATGAATAGAATTAGATGCGGTTGCCATTTAACGGCAGTTAAAGCTGACCGATTATTATTGCTATTGTTGTTCTAATTATTATTGTCTATGGGTGCACATGAACTCATGTAATTATGAACGTCGACCCTTGTAGTATATTATATGCGGGCTATAGCCTATAGGCGGAGAATTTTTGTGTGTACCATAAAACGGAAACCGACGCTTCGCTACATTCGGAGGGTACTATCGGTACAGACAATGTCTCAGTTCTAGAAAATAAAACTGCATTTTAACAAAAAATAAGCGAATAAGAAGTTTAAAAATCGTTGGAGCTTCTTAAACTGGAATTTCGTGTAAGAGAGATGATCTGAATTCTTAGGGTAAGTCACGTCAGTATGTATTAAATTTGTTTACACGAATATGAAATTGTTGATCCTAAAGTATATAATGCAGTCAGGCATTATTTCGGTTGAAAAAATAATATTTATAAAATAAATTTTACACGGAAAAATGGATAGGTACCATTCGAAAAATTGTGTTTTTATAGTTTATTTGGTAACAATTGTATTGGAATAATGCTATTTCTACAACGCCCATTTGTAAGGAGTAAAGTATAGTCAATATTTTCTACTATTCAATCGATTTTATTTTTAATAGTTATTTTATATTTTCGATTTCATTAAAATTTTGTTAAACAATGAAATTACCAACTAGAGAATTTTACTATGTAAAGATGGAATATCTGTTGAATTGTTATACACTTTGTATACATATATTTTATTTATAAAAATACAGATACAGACATAGAATATTGTTATTTTTGTAGATGATCAATTGTTTTAAAAATTAACTAAAATTATACACGTTGAAACATATTAAAATAGTATTCAATTATTAGTATCACAGATTAGATAAAACTATATTAATTTATCTAATCTGTGTAATGTGTTCACTAATTTGAAAATTCGATAGACAGCGCTTGCCGGTCGTGTTATCACTTGAACTTTTTATCTTTGTTGTTGTTATCATCATAACAAAAAAAACAAGACATTCATTGTTATTTGTTACTATTGTCTGATGAAATAAAAACAAGTTAAGAATTTGACATTTTTTTTAATTTTACACAGTGTTAAATTTAGTATTTACTATTTACCAATTGCTACCTATTAAGTACCCAATAAGAATTTTGTATTTGTACCGACTAAGTCGTTAATTTTGTTTTACTTTTCAACTATGTGTACACACTAATAACAACTCGAAAAGTAATACGTTAAATAGAATAATTATTAATTTATAATTTGTAATAGTTTTATATGTGTCCAATTATTATCATCAACAAAGCTCCACTAGTTCACAGCTCAAACTATTTTGCCAGTATGTAGACTTTATTTTATTGGTTTTCCTATTGTTGATAACAAGTTCAATTTTAATAAAACACAAAAATAAACATTACCATACTGTGTTTTATCCTAAATATTCATATACTTTAGTTAATGTAACTTGTATGTTCTATATTAACTTAACACTATATTTGAATTGGCCAGTCACACAAAGTAGCAAATCAATTCTTAGCCAAAATTGATATATTATTATAGTTGTATTGGTTAGACTCATTTTTGAAAGAAATTTCTGTTTTGTGAAATCATCTGATGTATTTTAATTGCTAGCTCTATGTATGCCCCTTACACTATTCTATTATAAATTGTAACATTATTTTACTCTTTTACGTTATTCATTGTTTGCCTTTGTTTTTTTTATTCTAACTATGCGTATTATAAATTGTAAAAAATTACAAACTGAGTATAATACGTGAATGTTGCAAACATTCACAGAAAAATAATTTTACTGTGCCCTCTTACAATATTGCTGTCAATAGATTAATAAATTACCCATTTTAAAATTAACAATCTATTAAGTTTGTTTGTTACAAATATTAATTATTAATTACTGTTATTACTGGTTTGTTTCAGATTTGGATCAAAATAAGTACTGTTTACAGGGAAAATATGGCTGTACTTTACTTAATGAAACAATGATAACACGACAAAAAACTTCCTGTTGATGTATCCTGGAGGTCTTATTTAAAGTGTGAATTGATTTGTGAAAGTATTGCAGCGTTTAAATGATCTTTAAAAGAATGTTTTGGGTGTGCTTTAGAAAAAAAAACATTCAAGTTCTGTTGATCTTGGTTATTTTGTTAGTAACTGTATATAACATATATTTACTTGGCAATAGCCAAATATTTGATAAATCTCAGAAACATTTAATTATGTGTCATTTCCAAGATAAACACGAAGAATCTTTACCAGAGTTAATCTCGAGCGAAGTTACTGAAAACAGTATATACTTTTTTGAGACGTCCTGTAATCATGAAAAGGGTATTCAACTAAATCTTAGGCAAGGTTGTGCAATAGAATCTGCGGCTTTTCTCAATCCAGATTCAAAAATTTTTGTGTTATTTCTCTCTCCCAATTTTGTTGATCATAAATCACACGTTATTGATACATTAAGTAGTTACAAAAATGTTAATTTTAGATACATAAATTTACGGTCATACGCCAACAATACTCCTTTACAAAACTTTATCACATCAAAAACAATATTTACGAGTAATTGGCCCGTTTCACATACTAGTGATCTGCTACGATTTCTAACTTTGTGGAAATTCGGAGGTACTTATTTGGATCTGGACGTTGTACTTATGAAGTAATTATAAGTCAATTTTATTATTACATTATTCTTTAGGAGAAATCATAAATGCATTCACAATATTTAAGAATGCCGTTTCGAAACCGTTGTTTTATTAATACATTTTGGAGATTTGATCAAATAAGTTATCCTATTATTAAAAATGACTGTGACTCACATGCATTTAAATCGGGTAAATGTGGGAAAGGACATGTCCTGATATATGTACAAATCTCTGTTGAATGCACGTCAGTCACCATCATGTTTTATCTATAGAATGGCCCAATATGTGTATTAAAAAGTCAATGGTATTATCAAAAATAAAAATAGTACCTACATACTTTTTTAAATTAAAATAAGTTATTAGTGCACTCAACAAATGACTAATTCCTTGTTATGTTTTTCATTAGGTCTTTTAACAGTATGTCAAATTTCGTAGCTGTTGAATCAGAAACGGCTATTGCATCACTTGTACTGAATTTCAGCACTGACAAACTCGGTAAATTAATTGCCAACCTTACAGTTAACGACTATGCTAATAACTATCGAGGTAACGATTGGGGCTACAATGGACCGGGAGTTATAACCAGAGCACTTCAAAAAATCTGCAATACAGAAAACGTAAGTGACTAATAAGAATAATAAAAAATGATTCAAAACTTATTCTTGGAGTGAATGTGTTAAAAAAACGTACAAACTATATATTCTACTTTCCATCTTCTTCTTTATTAATCAATAAATAATTTTATCAGTATGTTTGTTTAGTTATCAAGATAAAGGATGCCAGTTGTTCTGATTTAGATAGAACACTATCGGCTTTCAGCACAACCGGTATATTTAAAATTTTGGCCGAGATGTAAAAAAGTACTGATTACTGAAAATGAATCTCTATTTTTATTAACTGTTTGTAACTATTAAATAATTATCAAAATATTATGTTCATTGTGTATTGGACTGTTTTTTTAAAAATTTTCTTACCCTCATAAATGATAGTAGCCTATTTAAATAAGAAATGTCTTAAATTACAGATCTCTATAGCACAACTCTTAGTACTTTCTCATGTTTTTTTTTTTTTGCATTTGATTAATTTGGCAAATTATAATTTTTCATTAAAAACTAAACCACATTTTTTAATTTGAAAAAAGATTCTTAAAGTTAAAATATGACACTTAAAAATCCTTTTTTTAATATTTCGTTACAATTTTTTTTTAGCAAATTTCCAACATCAGTTTTATCATTTTCAATAAGCAGTAACTTGATAAAAACATTTTCATTGATAAATATTATGTGAGTGATTTTATAGTGTCATGTTTCAGCTTTAAGAATATTTTTTTTTAATTGTAAAAATGTTAAATATGTTTTCAAGTTAGAATTTTTTTAAATGCAATTACAAATTTCTGATTGTTAATAAAATGCAAACAAAAATTTGCAAATAAGTTCTTAGAGTTAAAAACCTTAAAGATTCTTTTAGACAGTACTGTGTGCATGAATATAGAGATTTATTAGCACAGGCTGTATAGTGTATACAATACATTTAAATACTTTTTTGTATTTTTAAATTAAAAAAATTTGAAGTGGGGTGGGTTAAAGGAATATCACTTGTAATGGCCTCAGTTATAATTTAGAATAAATGACAACTCTAGTCTAGATGAACTGATTTTATTTGTTGGCAATCAGGTGTTTTTTTTACACTTCTAAAAATTGCATAGTTTGTACGGCTGACTAAACTCTACTTGATACAAATTTGGGCACAACAATTTTAGAAGTTGGCAATTTTATTTTAGAACACAAGATGTTGTCTGTTATTAGTTTTACCTTATACCTTTTGACCCTGACGAGATATACCAAACTATTTTTGTCACAATAATTTACATGCTAATGGTTGAATTATTGTAAAGTATATTAATTTCAATGGTTAAATATTTCTTTTACAGATTTCAGAAATGACCAAGGACAAATGTCAGGGTTTTACCGTGTATGATCAAGACACTTTTTGTCCTGTTAGTTGGAAGGACTGGTATTCATACTTTAATTCAAACACTAGTGCCGAAGTGATGAAAAAAATAAATAACAGTATAGGTATACACGTTTGGAACAATCATAGTAAAAATACCGTTGTTAAAGTGGGATCAACACAGCCTTACGGTTTAATAGCCCAAAAATATTGTCCAAATGTATTTTCACTGGCAAAAATAGAATTCTAAACACCAAATGTAATACAAAATATGTTACTTGTTTACTTAGTTTAATTTTTTGAAAATGTATTTAAATAGCTCTCTATCTTTATATTTTTATTATAACAGCTATATTCAGTTATTTGTATCTTGTTTTGTTTTTCATATTGTATCAACCCCTGCCAATAACTAACAAATGAAATATGCAAGTATTTTTTATCTACAAATAGTTATTAAGTGATCAGAAATTGGTGTTATTGAGAAAGGGACAAATTAAAGCATTTATGAGTAGATAATAAATTATGATTGGGTTGATTGTACAATCAACAACAGAATGACAGGAAACCATGGAGTGGAAATTAGCTAATAATGTGGTTGATCCCGATTCATTTGAAACAATGGTAAGGGCGCAAAAGAGATAATAATTGATAATAGAATAATATTTCATAACCGGTACACACTATTGAATAAAAAATAAAAAATAATAATTCAGTATTTAATAAACATAACCAAAAATTGCAACATTGTTCAAATAACATTTGAAGAAATTAACATAAATCTTGGTCAGTGACAGATGAAAACTGACTTCATTTTTAACTTGTAATCCGGACATGATTTTTATGTTACTAATATGTCCTTGCATAAGCTTCCTGATAACACCTATTTCATTAACAATATGACTATTCGTATAATTATAAAACATATTGACATTGCTAGATCACATAAATAACTTACACGATTACTAAAATTTTAATTATTTTTAAAAGAATTTTTTTAACGGTTATTCAAAGTTGACACAATTTTTTCAGTCAGCTGCGGCAATAAGTTGATGTGCTTTGTAAAACAACGTGACATGCAAGCTTCAGCTTCTTTAGTGTATTTGCTTATCTATAAATCATAATTTATGAAAATAAAATAAGTAACAGATTTAATTTGTTTCTACGAAATTAACATAAATCAGAATAATACATATGTATTATTCTGATTTATGTTAATTAATTTGGGTCAACATTTGTTTTTTAATTTTACCTGCACTGTTTAATTGTTAAAAAAACTTAAATAGTCATCACAAACATTTGAAATAGTAATTCAGCTAAAATAGTATAAGCTGGATGAAATCAAAATAAACTTATGTCATTTTTCCCATGATAACAAAAAAATCAAATAATTTCTTAAAATATTTACCTGTCTTAAAATTAATAAAACTGCTCTTAATGTAGAAAATTTATAATTTGTTTAATAAGATTTTTTAATCAAATTTACAAACCTGGGATTCACTAGGATTTCCAGTCATATTATCACTAATCGTATCCTGACAGTCTTGTACACAACGTTGTATCCTATGCTGAAATAAAAAAATTATAAATTGTTGAATTAATTTTGAGTAAAAAAAAAATGTACAATATTAATATAAATTTGATACGGAAGTTGCATAAAAAACTTTTTTTTATTAGTAGACAATAAACAAAAAAAAAAGGTCTATGCAAACCACATATTATTAGAAATTTAAAATTATCTTTAATTTAATAAAAAAATTATATATTGTTAAACAAAAAATGTTGAAAAACCATTTCAAGTTTCTTGTCATAAACAGTCATTAATTAATACAGCTACTGCTAAGATAGATAAAATATTATAGCAGAATAAAAAATGCAGCAATACAACTTTTTCAAACAAACAAAAATTTTAAAACATTTATATAGACTTAATTAAATCAAAATTACTACACAAGTTTGGGCAACACTTATTTTTAATAAGATGTCAATAGTAAATACATAATTTAAACGCCCGTCAATATACCTGCCATTTACTAAATTCATTTTGAAGATAGTTCTGACTCGAAACCACATCTTTTGCACAGTTATCAACGCATACTTTCAACGAGTTAATGTTGATTGAAGTATCTTTACAACAATCAATGGAACACTGATGCATTTGAATCTGTCAACATAAAAATGTTAAGGGAATAAAATAAAATGTTGAATGTACTACAAGGAAATTATTGTTTTTAATACAACCGTGGTCTGAAGAAAATAAGTTTACATAATAGGATAAGTAAAAATAAAAATAAATATAATATAAAAAAAAAAAGGATAATGGTATTATGTATGTTATATTTACGATATTGTGGTAACTTACTTGTAATTTTCGTAAGCATTTTTTATCAATATCGTTTAATGCATTATTCACAGCGCTTTCCATACGCCGTTGCTCTTCATCCATCTGAAATATAAAATTAATTTTAAAATCATGATGTTGATAAATAAATTCATAATATTATACTACTATAAAGATGACAAAACTATAACATATATTATCATGGATTTAACGTAAATGTTAAAAGCGATTTTTTATTTACTAATATGATTTGGAAGAAAAAGCAAGTAATCAACAGACATTATGTTTGTTCAATCACTATGTTTAAATATTTTGTTATACCAGTTGACAACCAAAATTAGTGTAGTTAAATTTCAATATAAAGTTAAATAGGTTAAATATTTTTTGTTATTCTGGGAGGGCTTATTAGTCCGACGCCCAAGAAGGGGGTGATGGCTTTTTTTTTAGTCGGAAATATATCGCCAAGCAAATAGAGCCGCTTGAGTCCAAATATGCAACAGGCAACAATGAACAAAGTACATTACCACTTTACACACTCGGTCTCTACATGTTCTTATTGTATTCAAAATGTATTTAGACAAATTTTAGGTATTATAATGTGTAATATTAATTTGGGATTTTTGTAAAATGTACTGAATATATTAAATACAGTAAATTGTAGCGGATAGAGAATCTTACCTTGCAACTAGTGTAGCGAAAATTTATTTTTTTATTATAAGTAGTTAGTCAATTCGGTTTTTTTTCAACCGGTCTGTGGGTCATAAAAATGACTCCTAATCCGGGAACTTTAATATATATATTATATATGTTATATAAATCAAACTTAAAATTAATATATTCTTTTGACAACTATTATAAATTCATCAAAATATTCTACAAAAACCATGCGGCACTTGGCATTATGATAATAGGTATCGCATGATATTTTTCAAGCATTATCATATTTGTAAATGACAAGGTTTCAGTGCATAAATAATGATAAGACTTGTGAGCCGTGAATTCTGGCAACTTACCTATGGCACCGCACCGGTCGATTAAATTTTTTATTATTATGCAGTATACTTTACCCGGGTTAAAAAACTAGATATTAAAAGGCACCGTTTTAATTCACAAATGTTATAATCCAATGCCCTATTCAATATAAAGTTAAACTTAAATTTACAAAGGAAGAAATTGGTGAGACTATAGTTCTTTAACTTTTTTATAGTTCTAAAATCAGCAGAAAATAGTTTAAAAAAACATTTTTCAATATTTCGGTAAAAGATATACCTTGTGCATAGGTACTTACAAAATGTGATAATTTATAACAAAATTCATGAAGTGCCAGTTTTAAAAAAAAATAATTAACGTTTTATAACTAATGTACAACGTACATTTTACCTAATATTTATACTTAAGTCTGAACACTGTCTTAAGTATAAACCAGCTACCAAGCTCAGTAGCCGGTAATGTAAGAATATTTGGTGTATGATCGCTATTTTCCTTTCAGAATATTAGCCCTTCGAGACTCAAATTTGCCAGAACGTTTGATTCTGGACAGAGGATCGGAGCTGAAGAGAAAAATAGGTACATATTAATTAGACTATTTAAAAAAAACGTATGGAGCATCGCAACTTTATGATGAAAAATATTTACATTGTTTTTGCGTATTTCTATAGAGGAAATAAATAACAATCTAAAAATATTTTTGCCAGGTTTTCATTTATTTAGGGGGAGGAGGTTTTCAAAATAGTCTCTTCCGAGATATCAGCTTTAATATGATGTAACAAAATTAATTTAAAAAAAGAATAACCACACTCTTTCATGTGGTTGTAATTTTAAAAATATACGTTAGTGCTAAACTTTTGTACCCCTAATGTAGAGGCGTGCAGTGCATGCGCACTTGGTACCCCGATTCCAAATTGCAGCACAGTCCTGCCCCGCCAGCACTATTCAATCAGTAAACTACAGCCAAGCCCAAAAGACGCCGCTTGCCGATATTTACTATTTACCAGTCAGTTCTGCCAGTAGTAGTTTTCATTAATTAGGTACCCAATCAAACTGAATTTGACAATTTTCAATTTTGACCGATAATTTATAATTGTTAGTGACAATGTACAAGAAATGTATTTCGTTGATCAAGTCTGTTCCAAAGCGATACAAGTATTTACTAATACTTATTTAATATATTTTGAGCTATTAATTCTTTAGTAGTGTACTGCATGCGTAGTATTATTTTTTTAATTAGCCTTTATAATATTATTTTTATACGGCTTACAATGTCCAAATAACTAATCGCACGATATTAATAATTAATTAGATCTATTATATAAGTTATAACGTAGGTATAATACTATACGTTAAATTTATAAACGTGTGCAACAGTGTAAATATTTAATAGAGTCCAATTATACAATGTAAAATGTCAAGTATGCTCGTGGCTACCCTGTTTATACATATAGGCGTTTCGAATGTGGATCAATTATTGGTTGGCAACTGTTGCTAAGAGGGCGTCACCCTGTCTATATATTTGTTAAGGAAACGTCGTGCACTTTATTATTAACTTGAAAAAGCAAAGGGAACGAGAATCAACTAAGAAATTTTTAGTTAAAAAAAAATACCAAACCTAGTTAATTAAAAAATACCATAACTAGCAATGGGATTTCGAGGCATTAGCTGGTGTCTCTTTTTATGTGAAAATTCCTTTTAGGACTAGGCCAGCTCATTTACGATCAACTGATATTGAATAAATTATATTAGCCGTTAGGGCCCCTTAAACAATGTCAAAACAACTCGTCTTGAGGTATCATCGGCCACTTTTAAAATTTACACACAGCATTATCTATCCATTTAATTTGTATAAATTAATAATCAATTGGTATGAATTAGTTGGTTTTTGACTTATGGTACTTATAATAATTATGTGTAAATATGATACGTCAAAAAGTAATACAGATTTAGTTTCTCATTAATTGTGATTATTATTTCAATAATATTAGCGGATAATTACTTAATTATAACATAAGATACATAAATAACTCAAAATGTGACAAAATAATTAAAAAACAAAACATATAAGGTATTAACTGTACTTTATGTATGACACTGCTATTTCAGCAATATCTGGTCCAGAACTGTAGTCACGCTTATGACAACAATAAGTATTTTTATTTTTATTATAATTAACTGTACAGTTATAATGAGATACATTAATGTAAAAAAAATGCACAATAGTAAATAAAAAAAGTTGTTGGTCAAAATAAAATACATAATATTCTACTATTACTTGCCGTAAAAAACCTGCTAGTGGTGTTAGAGCAAAATATACTTATAAATCTACCTTTTGAATTACAATTTTCAACTTGAACAATGCACTTTTTTTTGCACCAACTAATTATAATTACCTATTCAAATAACAAAAAAAGATGATGACTTCAATAATTAGTTTTGATAAATACTATTTGTGAGTTATTAGCTATTATTATTAGGTAAGCTACAGACCACCGAAGTAGATGTACCTAATGCGTTATTTTAAATTTTAATTCACAATTTGTTTTCGTTGTTCAAGATATAATTTATAGTTTGAAAGCTCTGCACTTAATTTATTTATAATTATTTTCCATGAGAATAGGTAATTAGCGGAGCCAAATAGAGTTTTGACAAATTCACTTATCTTTTTATCGTAGAATGACAGAGTTAAAAAAAAAATTGGTTGTCAAATGCAGAACAAATATTCGATTTTGGAAAAAAATATTTTCAGTTGTAAAGTCTATTTTTCAGTTATGTTTTCCTATTACCTATGTGAATTTTGCATGGACCAAACACAGAGTATATGAATAGTATAGACTATAGAGACTATTATAATAAGGTGTTATTAATGGTTACCATATTACAATTAATAATATAATATGATTACATCGTTTAATACTTCAGAATTGTCACTTGGATGACATAAGTCATAACATGCAGTTTCATCCTCGTCCGTTTACTCTACTACGCGCACAATATTATATTGTTATTGTACTTTGGAAGTTGTTTTGAAGAAAAACAAACAAATATTGACAATGTCTATATATATATGTCTATACATATTTTAATAACGTTAACAAAATATTACAAAATAGATATTGCGTACCTACGAATATATAATAATGACTTGCCCGATGACGTCACGCGGTGTTTTCCCCCGCTTTCTCTTTTTGTAAATAATATTGTTCTCAAACGCGATAAGCGACGATAACCTTTGTGGTTTGTTATCATTAAAAAACATCATATTTTCTTTAAAAAAAATCACAAGTGCGAATTTGCCATAGCTACAGGCTACAACTGCCAACGGCAACGCAAATGTAAAAAAATCGAAGTAAATAATAACATATTATACCAATTTTTTTTCATTTTGCCGTTTGTTTACATTGTTGCAACGTACTTGTACTTAAATTATAATTTATATTGACAAACATTACCTTATATGCTATACGCGCGAGTTTCGTTTTTTTTTTAGTTCTTTTTTTTCTAACGTTTAAATATTTTGCTAATCGACAAGTTCATATCATCGCCAGAATGGGCTAGCCTACAACGACAACAGCACCGATTGCACAACAAGGTAATCGTTATTAATTATCTCTACTTAACAATAATATTACTATTGTGTTGTCTATCTAGATCCTTCGATGTACACTTCTAAATAACCTATTCGTATAATTTCCATAAAATAATGTTGGGTAATTACTTTAAAATATAGTGTTTTGAGGAAACCCTAAAAAAAACTCGAACCCGAGTCAGGCTTCGTGTTATTGCCAAATTGGCCTATTATCAATGTAATTGTTTTAACGTTCCTTCAATTCTTTAGTATGATCTAAGTACAAACCACACATTAACAATCACAGGCATAAAATTAAAAAACCTAAGTACATATCTAATATGAATCCAATAAATATTACTTACAGTATGTATACAACAAATTAAATTTTAACATATATTTGGTGAGAAATTATATGATAACCTTGGGCAATATAATCAATGTTCTTACTGCATACAATATTGTTACACAATTAAAAAAACCGAATGTTGACATTAATACAAAAAAGGTTAAATTAAATTAAATGTTTTCCAAAACATCAATTACACAATGCCATTTTGTTTTTACATAAAAAATCATAAACCATTATCAATTTTTTTTAAGAAAATCTTAGCAACTTTAAAGGCAAAATATAAAATATGATTTATCACTTTATTAGTAATAATTTTGACTGTGTCTGATACTAACCTTGCTTTGTATCTGCTATGCTTGTTTTATTATTCTTGTTGTTTCATTGACGTTTATGCAAAAATAAAAAAATTAAGAACTTATTCGCTCTAGATATTTTTTTAAACAATAATTCAATAAATCATAATTACATTATAATAATTTAATGAAATGCTAATAATAGTAGCAATTATGTCACATTGACAAATGATAATCTACATACTACTGTTAATTAGTAAAATAATATGTTATGAATTTGTTATAAGATGGTTATTTAAGCTTTTATGAATTATTAAATTATATGCATATTATTTGCCTAATTACAATTGTCATAATTTTGCTAAATGAAATTTGGGATTATTAAAATTATTTTTAGATAATTTCAAATAAACACATAATTTAAATCATGTCAACTCCAATCGGAGAATTACTTATCCATGAAATCAACTGTTAAATGTTTTTCTGTGGAAATATTATTAAAATTCTTAAGACTATGATTGTAAACATTAGATGTTTTTTTTCCTGTAAAGTAGTTATTTTAAAGTTGATTTTGCCATATTTTTCAATATTTAAAAGAACGATTTTAGTACAAAAAAGTACAGCAATTCTAAAAATAAGAAAAACTGGTATTTTGTTTGTCATTGTTTACTTGCTCAGGTGTAAGTTGACAGCAAATATTAAAAACAACTAACAACCAAGATTATTGCTTTTAGTTTTAAACCTTTTTCTTTTTAGGTAATCATTATTTGACCATAATAATATATCATATTGTTATTATAATTTTTACCATGTTTTATTTTCTAAGAAAACATAATACAAATTCTGACATTTTTTAATGATTCAAAGAAAATTATCTTCAGTATGATAACAAATTAAACTAAAATATTAGTACTAAAAAAAAAAAATGTATTTAAAATTTTTAAAAATATTTGTTGAAAAAAAATTGCTCTTCTATTGTAATAGTATCGACATCTTAATTATTATTATAATTTACCCTGTTTAATTACTGTATAATGTTATGTTTCATATCTTATTTCAGATGACCAGATACTGATTGCAGAAATGGCTTTTTTTAAGCTCTTGAACCTATCCCAACCTGTGGTGTAACAATGAAAAGTATTCATTACAATGAAGTTTCTTTTTTAAATACCAACGTGAAAGGTCACACAATGGCTACGACAAATGACGATTTTGACGATGCCGAGCAGCTTCGACTGATTGCACTACAATCAATGGTCAGACGCACAATGAAAAGCAACTCTAATCAGACAAATGACGACCAAGATATATTATTGTTGAGAGCAGCCGCACTTCAGTCCATCGCATCTAAGATTGACAATCGAAAAAATACAAAGAAACCTATCAAAATAAAAAGTAGTAGTATAAAAAGTCAAAATGTCAGAGCCAAGAAACGAAGTAAAAGCGATAGGTTACCTTCACCGAGTAAAAACCATAAACATCGGGGAAAACGGAAAAAGGAAGACAATCTAGCCATAGACAATTTGTCGATTGATAATTATGAAAATGTTATAGAAGATAACAAAGAAAAACCTGTTGAACCAAATAAGGTAGAAGCAAAAAAAATTGTAAAAAATGGAAGTATGTTACTTTCGAATTTGAACTCTGAAGGAATCGATGAAACTATGGTTATAAAAATAACGTTTAGTTCAACAGAAAGCGATGATTCATCAAGCGACACCGACGATGTATGTTGAAACTATTTCTTTTTACTACGAAAATTTTTTATAAACAAATGCGTCGAATGTTTTTCTAGAGTAAAGTGAAAGAGAGTGTTTATTTCAATAACGACAGTGATTCTTTGAGATTACGTCTCAACCCTCCGGCAGTTGATCAGCAAAGAAGTGCAGACAATTTTAACAGCAATAAAGACAACTCTGTGATTCTAGAAGACCATAAGTATGATCTGTGTACTATTTACATTTTGATTCTACAGTAATATATGTTATGTGCATGTTTCAGGTTAAAAAAAACCGAAGTCGGCATGGAAAAGTTATTGAATTTATTAAAAATGTGTAATTCAGAAATTGAAAAACGCGATCAGCAAGTAAAAATATTGCTGGAAGCTTACAACACGTATAAGAGTCTCGACAGTTCAGTTCATTCAATGCTGGAATCAATTAAAGCTGTACATAAGGAATTGTCTGAGCTCAATCCCACTGAAAATACTTAAACTGACTTTCAGACCAATGTTACTTGCAAGGGAAACTATTTAATTGTTATGAGACAACATGTTCATTTAATTTATAAAAAGCAATTTTATTTAAAACTCTGGACTAAAATTTTCATTTAGGGGGTGGGTGAGGCGGGTTATAATCTTTTTATTGTTTACTTCTGAAATTATGGATTTTTCTAATACTTAATAATAATTTTTAAATCCGATTTACCTCTACTAAAATAAATATTTTTTCACTCATCGAGTATGTTTTATTAAGAAATTTCCTTTATAGATTCGTGCTCTGTTTTCGTTCATTCTACAATCCGTTGACTCGCAACAATAAATAAAACGTTTGCATTTAACGTTTTAGTAAATAGAAAAAAAAAAAAATGACAAACTGATACACTAATAATGTACATTTTTCAGTTCTGTCGCTTAAAAACCCTGCCCGTATTGTCACTCTTGACATATATTTTTTTTTTTTTTAGATGTATTCTTTATTGACGAAGACATCATTGTCTTTAACAAAATCTATTGAAATGGCGAAAACATACATTTAGGTTATTGTCTGTGAACAAGTCGTTACAATAATATTTTACGCAAATATATAGTTTTTGTCGCTTATGTTCGACAAACGATTTTTGGTCGTAAGTGTTTCTTCCGACGATTATTTTTTAAACTCATTTGTTTTTATTGTTTTGCAGATGTCGTGTGATGCGAACGATGCAACAGGAATGTGTCATAATTGTAATTAATAATTGTTAACAATTATTATTTTGTTCTAACATAATAAGATTATAATAAGAAAAATATAATATGTTTTAAACATTTGCTTTATTTTTTATTTAATAATATATATCCTGTCATTAAAAAAACTCTAGAAGTTTTTTTTTTCTTAAACATAGTCGTTGCTGACAGACGACAGTTCGTTTGAACGATATTGAAATTGTGTGTTCGAGTAGCGTTTACATAGACCTACAAAGATAGATTTGTCTATAGGATATATAAGATTTCTTTACAGGTCTATGAGCGTTTATTAGGATGTACCCAAGATTAACTACTTATATAAAATTAATATAGCTCGTTAGTATGCTGGGTCCTTGGAGCCAATGGGCAATGACATAGTTTTGTTTGATAGGAACAGTGTTGTGGTATAGGATATCTCGTTTGACCTTGGCCAAAGGTGACTAATTGCTGGGACGAGTATTTTTTTATTCAGACTGCACTTTAACAGTAATATTGCTGCTATTGACGATAAATATTAAATACATGTTGTAAACAGGAAATGATTAGTCATATTATCAGCTTGACCAATAGCTAAAAACTGATAGCGCAGTGCACAGTGCACTAATAATTATTGTAGAATAATTTAATTACTAGAGAAAATCGACTATCGAGTTAATGTTTTTCATGGTTGTGAAAAAATGTCCAATAAATTACCTAAAGAACTACATAGAGCCAATATATGATGATATTTAACATTTCCACAATAAAACAGGTCCAACTTTGATGTGTTTTCATTTTATTATAATTTTTTCACCGATTTCTTGGTACAGTAAATCTAAAGATCAAAATATCGTACCAGAATAATACTTTATAAGATCAAATAACGAAAGAGTTTACTGCAACACTTTCAAGAAAAACACCAGTCAAACTAGCCTGATCTTTAAACCATTTTTCTTATTATATACACAGTTTTGCATTGAAAAATCTTTTAACGATGATACCTAAAGACCTGAGACATGCCCATCACATCATGCAAACATTCTTGTATATTAATTAAAAATTGGACACACTTTTTTAGTAGAATTTTTTTATACTACCGAAAAATCCCAATAAGGTAACACTTTTTTTAGGCAACAGATGTCAACAACTTTGCCTTTCCAAAATAAAGTACGACCAGAATAGGTATAATTGTAAAAATGCATTTACAGCAACAGTCTAATATGACCAACAAGATTTTTGGCTAAATAATTAAAAATCTGTTATGGTAAAAATATAATTGCTGTAAAATGTAAACAATTTAGCTTTAAATGGTTAAAAAAATAGAATTCTAAAAAAAACACAAGTTCAAGGTAAAAAAAGCATATTATCAATTATATTTTTGATTAACTAGTTTTACAAAAAAAAATTACATTTTACTCATAAAAAGTTTTTTTACCAGAAAATTTTACATTGAGATATAGATTTGGTATAATAATAAAACCTATAATTACTTATACAAATTAATAATAATGGTCGTTTTTCAAATTATTATTACATTAACATTAATTTGATTATTATGACTGTAATTTCAATTGCCACAAATAGCAATAATGTAATGCTTTTTTTACAAAATTTGTAATATGAAAAAAATTTTGTATGTATTTTTAGAGCTCCATGTCAGATCTCCAAGACTAGAAATTATAATATTATTATTAAATTTACATTAATATAAAGCAGACAGAACCGTAAAATTGGTCATAAAAAAAATCAAACAGCAAACGGCTCGCTGTGAGCACATTGTATTTAAAAAATAATTTATTTTGTTTATGTTTAAAAACACACAAATATCATGATAATTATTTTAAAACACCATCCAATAATAGTTTATAATACGATTATATAATATAAAATAAGATTATTATTTTAAAGTAATAAATAAAGACGTTTTAATCATAAATGATCGATTGTTAAAAATGCAATTCATAACTCAAGTACTAATTAAAAAATAATTTGATTCAAATAAGAGCATTAGAGTCAAAATATATAATAAGAGCTTCTAAAGTTAAAATAAAAAGATTTTTTTTTAAAAAAAAATATATGATAACTTTAGATTTTACTACTTATTTTATAAGTCTTTTATTTTATTTTAAAAGAATTGTTAAGAATCAAATTAAAAATAAAATTTAATTTATTATAATTAGTATATTAAATATGTACATGCATTTAAAAAAAAAGTATTGAATGAATGTGTTTAATGAGTGCTAGAGTCAGTTGAAATCAATAAAACACACAATAATAATAATATAATAAATAGCTGAACCGCTTTGACGATGTTAAGAATATAACTTAAAATACAAGGCTAAAGCCTTTGAATGATACTTCTTAGTGTTATAGAATAAATAGATGATAAAAAATGAGAAATTGTAAATAATAATTGGGACATTACTGTCAAACCTAAATATACTGATAAAATTATTTTACCTTTACAGTAAGTGATTTGTTTGATTACTTAAAATACATAATCATTAAATTATAATGATTTAGTATTAAAAAACAGTAATATTGTAAAATTATATTAAAATATATTTTTTAATTTTGTAAACTAAATTAAAATATTTTAAGAGCGTAAAATTTAAATAGATTTTTATTTTTTTTTAAATTTATTAGGTTTATAGATTTTATAGTGTACCAAAAACAATATATAAAAAGAAGTTGATTAAGTAGTATCACATCTGTCTTATATTGTAATTTAAATATATTTTCGCCAACATTTTTAATAACCGTGTGAGACTAAATGATCTCCTAGTTTTTCAACAACTAATGCAGCTTGTTGCGGTTGAATCGGATCTTCGTACAATGAAACGACTATTGCTGTAAACAATGAAAATAAAAATGTTATACGTTTAATAATAATAAAAAAAAAAGACTCAATAATTGACATTTTTAGACATCAACAATAACTGGGTTTAATTAAATCAAATACTTCATTAGTACAAAACTTACTTTGTTGAGTCTTCACACAGTGAGCTCCCACTTTTCCTTGTTTGGCTCTTATGACTTTATCAGTACCCGACAGATAAATATAACGAACACCTGATAGTGTTACTCCAGACGATGTTAATGTATCTCGATTATCAAAGCCTTGAGCTATTTTACTTAATTCGTCCTTTGATACCTGAAACAACGCAGTTAATGGTTGATTAATTACAAAAACAAATTATTATTTATACGATTCGGTGAACATTGTGCTAGACATAATAAGTCAAAACACAGGTCAGTGATTATATCTATTTAAACATATTTAAAAACAACATGTTTAAAAAAATTCAATAATAATTATTGCAGACTGATTATACTATGAAAATAAGCATATTTTATGGATACGAATGAGTAATAATGATGAGTAATAACATGAGTAATGAGTATTAACATTCGTAATTAAATTATTTATCATCCAATACTGAAAAAACTAAATTTTTTTGTCAATTCAAACATTATTAGAAATAATGATTTATTTGTTTTGAAAAATACACACATTAGCTATCACACATGCTTTAGCCTCATCTATAAATACATAAATGTCTATTGCAAATTCAATTAACTTGAGATTTATTTATTGTAATATAAATAATACTTAACGAGCATTTAATATATAATTTGAAAAATGTTTTTGCAAATTTGAAATTAATTTTTCTTTTCTAATGCTATATAGTTCTATAATTGTATTGAAAATATTGTAATATAATTGGCCGCTATTGTTATTATATATTGTAAATAAAAATAATTCTGTAAATAAATAAATTGTGAAAAAAGTTAGTATTTCAGATAAACATAATAATATCCAAAATAAGAGGTTAGGCTCAATTTTAATAAAAATAAAAAAAGAGCTATAAAAGTTATTTTAGATAAGTAAGATTAATGGCAATAAAAAATGTGTAACAATCTAGTAATAAAATTGTTATCTGCGATAGGGTGCGATTATAAGAATTAAAATTGAGGTTCATTTAGCGCATACAAGTAAAAATTATTTTTATGTCTGAACTATTTTCATACTTTTCAGTGGGAAGTAATTCAATTAAAACATAAAAATAAAACTGGTAATTCATTTTTATCTTTTAACAACAGTTTTTTTTTTGAAATTTGTATTAAAATAGTTTTTAAAAATGTATCAGTAATATTAAAAAACCAATGGGCCGCTTTAATTTTAAGTCTATTTCTAAATTCATAGAATTTGCAAGTAATTACGCCCTTAATTAAATTGTCTGCTAAAAAGTGAAATAAAATAATGCCGATAATTCAGTATCAGTTTTTATGTTATCGAGTATGTAATCAGAGCTATGAAATCGTCACGTCCACAACGAGTCGAGCCATCAATACAGCGACACTAATAATGTTTCAAACTGAAATTCAATGTACCTAGACCATCGAATGTACAATCAAACATTTTAGTCGACTGTTCAAAATCGGACAGACAACGCAATTACATATACTATAGCCATTGATTATAAATAAATTGTATTTATAATTAATGCTATAGCATTGTTAGATATTTGGACAACACTAGTACGTTGGATACATCTGGGCGCGTCATACCTAGATGACATGACTTTTTATAATTTTGATGATAAGACAACTCGTTTCCAAGAAACCATCGGGTGGGTTCGAGTTCGAGCTAGTGGACGACAATTTTCTGCCGTTTCGCGTACACAATCACTGTTAGATTGTTAATTTTTTATTGGAAATGTTATTTAAACAAATGAAAGTTCACCTCGAATCCGTCGGACTTGGCCCACACATTTCCGTCGTGACCGGCGATCGCGGCTTTGGTAACGCATTTGCTGGCCAACAAATGTTTGTCAACGTAATCTTGCCAAGACGACATGATCGGACTGGTTGAGTGTTCGATTTGTTCGTGAACCCGTTGACGGGATAAAAGTTAAAATTTGTTTTTAAGTTTTAATTTTGTAACGTTAAAAAATATACGCGTATTTGGCGTCGGAGGAGCGAAGTCCAATTGACAATTATTGTCGACAGGCAACGCAACGCAACAAACGGGCGACGGCCAGCGGCTTACGGCGAACGATGATAAATCACATAGAACGAGGGCGAGAAGAGTAGGAATGAAACGGGGGAGGAGAGAAGGGGAAAAAAAAATACCGGATGACGATGACGGGCCGGGCCGGCGTTGTAGTCGATGCAACTGTATGAACCTACCAACGTTATTCGCTCGACGACGACGACGTGCAACGTTGCACCACGCAATTCTACCTCCTAGTACCGTAACCGCGGTAACGTGGAGGTAACCCGCTGTGAATGATTATACCCAAAGAACGCGGCAGTTTGAAAAAAAAAAAAATTCTTAATATAATCGTAATCTTTAATAGTGCCACTAAGCTGACTACAGCACTCGGCAGTAATTAAGTTCAGTGAATATTACCTAAACCATAGAGTAAAAAAATATATACTTATACTCAGGGTTGGACAATGATGCAAATAATGGGAGGGAGGCTTAGCCCTCTCACTGGAAAATAATTGATTTTTAACCTCTTGCGAATCAAGAGTTCTTAAACATCACAGATTAAATTAATCTGTAATAGTATTGCTACCGAAATACGCGTTTACACTTTACGCTGCTATTAATAAGTGTATTTTTTTTGTGGAGATTGTTCACTACCCATCTCTAGAGTGTTGAATTTTTTAAATATTATATTGTTTAACTAGGTATAGGTATTGTGAAATTTTCTACTTACTACAAAATCCAACATTTTTTCGATGCATTTGTAAATCTGATTTTAAATTTTCTCTAGCACACCTTTTCATTTTCTACACCACCTACAAAGATGTAAAATACATATTTTTTTGCTGTAATTTGTGTAATTTTGAAACATTTACTCTTTTATTTATCTTTTAGTCCATTTTATTTAGTCGCTCTTTTTTTTGGATATTTTTTTATTACAATTAATAATGTTCAGCATATTAGTAAAAAATAAAAACAATACTTCTTTTCGTCAACATAACATTAAAATAAAAATACTGATTATTAAGAATTATCCAAAAATGTTAATACTATCAAGTACCTACTACCATCAGTCAAGTCATATTTAAAAGTGAACTATTCATTTTTTTTAGAAATATTTAGAGGTTTGGAAAAAGCGTATTTAAAGGTTTTAAATAAAAGAATATGAGTTGATAAAAATGAAAGTCAAATTTGTTTTGTTAATTTTATACGGAATAAATGAAGTCTTAGTTGTAAACAGACAATTTAGATTTTAGTTTTAAAAAAATAATTTTTTATATACATAGTTAGTATTTAAAGTACATACGCTATTGACTTTCGTACTATAGTCTACATTGTTTTTCTACTCTGTGTTTTTACTTGATAGTTCTTAGGTACCTTAGTTGTTGTTATAAAAAAAATTAAAAACTTTTATATTTTACTACAGAATAAATGAAATATATTAATCAATTTATTCTGTAATTTTACCGTGCTGAATTTCTAACGGACCTCAAAATGATTATTATTATCTACGTTCATTTATTTTTAAATTTGTTACGTTATTTGTTTTTTTTTTCGTAATATTATGTACAATTAATTTAAAAATGTTTTGTTTTTTAACTGGAAATATAAATTTTCTTCGTCCTTGTCAAGTGTCTTTTCGAATAATTAGTTTGAATTTGAATACTCTGTGTAATAAATTTAACTTACTATTGATTTTGTAAAATTTAGTTTTTCGCTTACCCTGTAAAATTTGATAAAATTGATATACTAGCTATGCTCTGGAGCCATCAATATAGATTTACCAAATGTTAATATTTTTTTTAGTTAAAACTTGAACGTTCAAACAGCAATGTCCCTAAAAAAAAATATTTTTATTATATAGGTACCTCACTTAATATTTTCATGTATAAAAAAAATTGTTTTAACTTATTGAATTAAAAAAAATGTATTCATAGTAGCGTTTTAAGTTAAAATATTAACAATTTATTGCCTTATAAAATAAGTGCAGGTCCAATGTGCGGAATGAACTGATTTCGGCAGAAATACCACAATATGCCACTGATTAGAACAAATTAATCTTTTAATTTAGTTATAAATAAAAAACTAACTGTTTAGGGTTGCACTGAAAATACAAGTATCAAACTATACACAATTAATATTAATATAATATGAACTGCAAATAAATGTTGATGTAACAATGATAAAACAACAGTCTAAGAAACTTTTTTCATTTATAAAAAAGTATGGCACAAAATGAAATATGGTAATTTTAACCATATTATTAAAATTATTTTTTAATTAATATAATGTATACCTATATAATTATTTTTATTTTATATACCAATGATTACTAATTGTTAGGACTATTGAATTAATTAAAAGAGCACAACAAAAATAATAACAAAAAGAAAAATCCAATATAAAATATCTATAAGTATATTAATATTTTTTTTTAAATTTAACATTATCAATTTGAATCATAAAATTTCAAATAACTTTTTAAGCTCAACCATTAATTGCCAATCAGTCTTGAGCAGGTCATCTCGGAAATGGTCCTTGCAAGCATCAATAGACTGTCTTGTAATCTTACTAACCAACAAGTCAGTTTCATCGAAATGCCTACCGAACATTTTTGGTGCCTCTCCGGGTATCGGTTCGATTTTAATACAAATTTCTTGTCCCTTCCTGGCAGTTTCAACGGGTTTGTGATTGTTTTCTATACTGGTCACAATACCCAGCTCTACAAACTCCTTACTTGGAACACATATAGGAGTACCTTCTTTAACTATACCAGATTCAACCATTACGCCCATAACAATTGGATCTCGAGAATTAAACACAAACTGCGGTAAGACTTTGAGCTTACAAGGAAACACTGCAATGGACTTGAACTGGTCACGGTTTTTTCTTTTCAAGTCATCTTGATAGGCAGTAAATTTGTCAAACAAATGGTATATGATGTCGGCTTGAAAAATTTTAACATTCAAAGAATCCGCCAATTCTTGAGCGTCTTTCTCGACTTTTACGTCAAACGCTAATATAGTTGCATACAATGGACAGTGTTCCAACATAATCGAAGCTTTCATAACATCTTTTTTAACAACCGGACCAATTCTTATGTTGCTATATGGTATTTTACTAGATCTCAAGAAGTCCAATAAAGCTTCTAAAGAGCCCAAAGTTGAAGCTTGAACGTACACTCCTCTATCTTGCAATTTTATTGTACTGAGTGCAGACTTCAACTCTCTCGCAACTTCTACTTTGAGGTGTTCTATTTCATCTGGTTTATGAGCAACATATATGTTCAATCCTGCTATAGCTTTTTCTAAATCTTTAGCAGCGATTTTCACCCCTTGCGCAGCTTTTATTTCTCTATACTCTACGTATGCATTTTTCACTCTCAGTTCTTTTAACGGTTGAGGCATTAACAAGGATCTTATTTGTGTCACAACTGGCCCATCAGTGCCCGCCACAACTATAGTCTGTCCTTCTTTAAGGTAACCGTTGACTAAAATAGTGTCAATAGTAGTTCCTAATCCTGTAATTGCTTTTACTTCCAACACAGTGGCTTGTAGTTGTTCACTAAACACCAGTCTTTTATACAAATGAGTCTGACAATTTTCGACAATAAGATCTAATAAGTTACCCATTCCTTCACCGGTAATTGCTGACGTTGGCACTAATGATACATAGGACTTTGGATCGGGATTTTCATAGAACAATGCGGCATTAAGGCCCTGTTCGGCAAACTGTACAATGACGTTCTGCGATCGTGTCTTAAACTCATTTTGAGTGTTGGGATGTTGAGAAGTCAATACGTCCCTTACATCTTTGCGAGGGTTGGTCTGCCAATCGTACAAACGATCAATTTTATTCAATGCTACTATAAATGGAGTTTTCTTAGTCTTTAAAATGTTAATAGATTCAATTGTTTGTGGTTCTAAGCCGTGCATAATATCAACAACTAAAATAGCGATATCACATAATGATGAGCCTCTATTACGAAGATTACTAAACGATTCGTGTCCAGGTGTATCAATAATTAATAAACCGGGAATTAAAAATTTTCTACTCGCATAATTATTGACGACTTTTGTTTGTTCTTTTATGGCGTGAAGTGGCACATTAGTAGCACCTATTTGTTGAGTAATGCCACCAGCTTCTCCATCTTGTACATTAGTTCTTCGCAGCTTGTCTAATATTTTAGTTTTACCAGTATCTACATGACCTAAAACACATACAACTGCAGCTCTTAAATCTGATTCTTCTTCATTACTTGTTTCCCCATTTTCATTGTTAACCTGTTTATCATTTTTCAAAATGTTGTCAACGTTTTTTGAATTTTCATTATTCTCTTCGTCAGACCCTTCAGAGTCGCCGTCGTTTTCAACTTTTTCTACCTTTGGCGGAGCTCTTAATGCTTCACTCTGAGCTTTAAATGTTTCTAAAAGCAACTGAGCACGTGCTCTGTCTGCCTTTTGTTTAGGAGTTAGAAATTTACCCTCGGCTTTCAATCTTTCCTTTTTTTCTTTCTCCTTTTGTTTCTTTTTTTCCTTCTTTTCTTGTTCTAACCTTAACTTTTCTTCTTTTTGCTTTTCGAGCTCTTCTATGCGTCTTTCTTCCTCTTCTTCCTCTCTACGTAGTTTGTCCTCTTCTTCTTTTTGTTGTTGCAATGCTTCTTTTAGAGCTGCGATCGCTTTTTTTCCAGGTCCTTTTTTGTCTTTGACCGGAGCCACTGGCTTTTTTTTCTTCTTACTCGGATCTGCAGTCGACATTCTTACAATGGAGTACAATAATAACTAGAAAATAAACCCTGAAACAAAAATAATTATATTCTTATTATTATTATAACAACTATAACAAAGAGCCAGCTCAGCAGGGTCGAGATATATTGAGTCAAGGAGGTCACAGAGCGATAAAAATTACTCAAAAGTAAAAAAAAATTCTTAGATGTAAATCTATAAATTAATAATTAAATGTACAATAAAATTGTTTATAAGTGAATATAAACCACTCTTTAGGCTCTATAAATGTATTATTAGGGTTTTCTTTGACAAAAAAAAATGTTGACTACAGATTTTGGAACTGTTTTGTATATTTTATTATTTAAGGTACAGGTAAATCCACCATCAGTTTAATTTTCTGACCTTTAAGCCACCCCCCTCCAAAAAAAAAGCCAAAGTTCTATTTTAACGTCTTGAAAATGTTGATACTTTGTTGGTATTTGACTCTTAGTATTTTTCTTAGTGTCTTCTGTATTAGACACCCTAGTACTATTAGTAGTTTGACTGAGTGTTTATCTACAGTTACATAACTAAGAAAATCCCCATTCAATAATGTATTTATAGTCTAGAGTGGATGCTAAATATTGCCCTAGGGCAAAACATTTATTTGTACCTAAGCTAAATTAATTGCATATTTATTATTATTATTTGTTATGACTAGAGAACAATTTATAGTGAATTCTATAGTAATGATAACATTGAATATTTATTGGGTAAAAAAAAGTTTGACAAGAACTATTGTTATCGAGTAGTGTATGAATGAAATAACAGATTTAATAGCTAATAGTTGGTATATTAATATACCTACTTTTCTCTACGTAAAGTAAAATCATATTCTTGTTAAATATTTGGGTACAAATCACAATGCATAAGAGAGAAAAAAAATATTTATTTTTACTATCATTCGATTTAACATATATAGCTGTACTCAGTATAATACAAAATTATAAGAAAGTCAGTAATTTAAAAAATGAATATTTAGAATAATGTAGAGAATGGTGGCAAACAACAAAATTAAACCCATATCGAAGCAATTCAGGATCGTAGCCCCTTAAAGTGTACTTAACACTGACACAACAATATGGTATAATATTTGTGATGATTTTAAATAATTTACTGTATTATATAATTTGTGAGTGTGTGGCAAAACAAATGATGTTATTATTTTTTATGGCTTTTTTAAAAATGACAACAATGTATTTTGTTCAAATACAAGTTACAACAGAAAAACACTTTCAAAGTGGTATATTAATAAATAAATGTACTCACCTAGAAATCTTTGTATGTAGTTTTCTTCTCGAACTGAATCTTCTAACACGATAATATTAAAACATGAGGATAACGCTAATTGCTATTTGCCTAGCAGTTGGCGTTCAATCCGTAATATATATACGATGGTCTCATATTCCTTATCTCGTTCGAATCACCTATCACTAACATTTGTAGGTAGGGTGAAGTAAACAACCTGCTGTAGCAAAGAACGTATTTGAGCTACCTATGAAATAATTTTTATAGTAAATATGAAAGTGTACAAGGACAGTTAATCGTAATAAAAAAATTGGGGACGAGCTACTTCAACAAAATATTCATTATTCAATTTTGAATTTAGCCCAATTTAATTTTCATCGGCTAGAAATATTTATATTTGACGGTCGTTGATAATAAAAGTGATATAATGATATGGAAAATATTTACAGATAATGATATTTGATTTTGAGGTTATGTTACAACATTTATGATAGTTGTTAACAATTTTTGGCGAAATTCAAAATAATCAATGGTTTATATTTACTACTATTATATATATTTTTTCAAAATAATATTAATAGTTATAATACAATGGGCGGGCGTTTGCGGTGATTTAGTTAAAATAATTTAAACATTTTAGTGTATCATTATGTCGAAAGAATCCGGTTCTAAAGAAAAACGTAAACACCTAAAAAAAGACGACGGCTCTAAAGTGCTCAAGGTGTTGACTCTGTTCGAATACCTTACTAAACTGCCGGAAGCTATACAAGACCGGCTTTACAGTCATCCGCCAACTTGCCTGACTGTCTTCCGAGTTCTGCCGGACATAGCGCAACAGTTCACATTGCGCATACTATTTATTGAACAACCAGTACCGCAGTCGGTGCTATCATCTTGGGTTCCTGCCAATTACTCAAATGAGCTCGAAGAGTCTATCAAAGTGGCCACAAATTTGCATATATGGAAATTGACTGGCGTGTCGGGAGGTTTGAAAGGATGGATTTTGAATTCGACATTTAAAAAAAAACTCAAGGTAGCGCTGATGGGCGGCGGCCGCTCTACTGTATCCAATAACGAAGTAACAGCTGATCCCAAAGCAAGAGATGTTGACTTCCTCGATGCTTACGCGTACGAAAGATGGGAATGTATTTTGCACTACATGGTCGGCTCTAAAAACGAAGGCATATCGGCTGACGCGGTCAGAGTGTTGTTGAATGCGGGTCTCATGGTGAGTGTATAGTGTTACTTGACAAGACAAATTGTATGTCCCTTTTAAATGTTCTAGGTTCAAGATACCGATGGCAGTCCAGTGATCACGTCAACAGGGTTTCAGTTTCTTCTGTTGGACATGGCGACCCAAGTTTGGTACTTTATGCTGCGTTACATGGAAACTGTAGAAGCACGAGGGCTTGATCTCGCTCAATGTCTGACGTTCTTATTTCAAATACATTTGGGTACCTTGGGTTGGGACTATATTACTGATGAAATGTCCGAAAACCTACAAGCGTTCCTACAACACCTGCGAGAATTTGGATTAGTTTACCAAAGAAAACGGAAAGCCGGTCGTTTTTACCCTACCCGTTTGGTAATAGAAATGGGCCAGGGTAGTAGTCGAACATCTGAACGAATGAAGAACAAAGAGCGTTATATTATTGTAGAGACTAATTTCCGAGTGTATGCCATGACAGATTCAGACCTTAAAGTTGCTTTAATTGCATTGTTTACACATATGTTATACAGGTTATAATATTAATACAATTATAATTTAGTAAATAAGTTTTGTACTAGAGTATCTGAAATTACATTTGAACATAATTATATAGTTTACTTTTTTAGTGGCCGTTCTCATGACTACTATTAGTACTCAATGGTATCTCCTTCCCAACTGGAAGCATATAATTTAGCTAGGGGTTTTCTGATATTTATTATCCAATCTTATTGTATTTAATAGGAACAAATTATGTAGTCAATTCTCAAATATTTTGCCACTGGTGAGAACGGCTTAGGTACATATTTTTATTTAACTACAGAACATTTTAAAATTAATAATAACTTTCTACTTTATTTTTATAAAAACTGTCATAAAAAATTATATTTTTCTTAAAAAGTAAAGTAATTTTTAGTGTAAATTTAGTGCTCAATTGTGCAATTTCAACAATAATTATTTTATATGATAAACAAAAATTAATTGCTTGAAAATTATTTGTTCAGGTTTCCAAATATGGCTGCTGGTATACTTACTCGAGACTCTGTACGTACAGCATTACGCAGTGGTATTACGGCTGCACAAATAGTGAGGTTTTTGACTGTTCATTCACATCCACAAATGCAAGAAGGCGGTATGCCCCAAACTATTATCGATCAAATTTATTTGTGGGAAAATGAAAGAAACAGATTGGCGTACACCGACGGAGTGCTCTACAGCAACATTAACACTCCGAATGACTACGAAACAATTAAAAACTATGCCTCCGATATTGGAGCACTGGTGTGGTGTGATGAAAGAAGACGAAATATTATTGTTAGTACGGACGGTCACGATGATGTAAGAAAATTCTGGAAAAAACAACCAAAATCTGATCCTTTTTAATTGGTAACAAAATATGGTCTCATCCTTTGTTTTTGGAATGAATGATTTTTTTTTTTTGTAAAATAATATTTATAAATAATATGTTAAGTTAAAGTTAAATCTTAGCAAAAAAATTATACATTGTAAATATTACATACATATTTATAAAAAAAAATATGTAGATTTTCAAGTTATTATAATTTTTATTTAGTATTAATTTGTACATAAATATAAATAATACGATTTGCACAAAGTTTTTAGTTTCAATAATCAGTAAAAACTAACAACTTGGATTGTTATTATCAGAGATGAAAGTATTAGAAAATAAATATTTAAATAATAATTTATTTAATAACATTTAAATATACATAAATGTGTAGTAAAAAGTATAAACATCACAAAATATAAATAGATATGTGTATAAAAAGCCAAAAAACAAAATATTTTAGGTATACAAACCAATAATAACAGTGAATAAAAATCTAGTTAACTTATGTTTCGGGATTGGAAAAATATTCTAGCACTATTAATGTTGTACGACAATAACAGAAATTCCTAAAAAAAAAAAAACCAATTATAAAATATTTCTCTCCAATTTGCTGTTGAATCTTTTTACCTTATAATAAACTTGCAGTCTTGAGTATGACAAACTTAGTGGTTGTTGTAATTTAGTATCGTCCTTCAACGCTTTGATTTCCTGACTCTTTAGCACATGTAGTTTTTTCTCATAATTGTCATTGACAGATTGAAACCATTTTAACAAATTGAATTCATCGTTCAAGTTGAAAATTCGCAGCAGATAAGCAAGTCCTAAAAAAATATATGCTAATAAATAAACTTCATATTGCTTTTGTTTATCATGTTACCGAAAAAGCTATTGCATTTTTTGTGCATAATAAAATTACAATAGGCTAGTTTAAATGCTAATCAAGTGATATGACATTAAAATTATTTTTTGGTTTATTTTATGAAATTAGTTATTTACTAAATGATCATTAAATTAGCTGTTTGATGTCTTACCGACTGCGAATCCGTCATCTGTAAACATTGCACCTTTGCTTTTCTTGTACATTTTTTCTTTTGAATTTATCGAGTGCTCAATAAAGTTCAATGTTAAAGCGGGTATGAGTATATAGAAGTTCCGCAAATGCATATAATTTTCAGAACTCATGGCTTGAACAAAAACGTCGATTAACAACTGTAAAATGTAACCAACCGTTAATACCTCAAGTATTTCAATTGTCTATTTTATTTGATATGTTAAAGCGTACTTTGAAATAATTTGTGCCTTCAGTGATGTTTTGACATATGTTTTGTATTACACAGTCGAGGTTGTGCCCCGAGCTTACGCAACTATCAGTAAATCCAGCTTCTTTACACAAGTCTTCAAGCTTAATCACTTTTTTTAAGTCCGGAATAAAGGAAGTTGCCAACGAAGAAAAATGAAGACCACCAGATTTAATCATTCTCACATAACCGAGAGCGTTTCCTATAAAATATAAACAATATATTTGCACTTTACAAAGATTTTGTCAACAAAATATGAAATTAATTATTACTCTAAGTAGATAGTTAAATAAACATAGTTTGCATTATGTCTTGTACCAATGTTTCAGATGAATAAGTTCTTCTTTAAATTTACATCTTTATATTTGACATAAATGTAAGAACAAAAAATGAAACCAATGAGTTTCTTACCAATGTGAGTGACCAACACTCTAAACTGATCCATGTAATTCTGTTCAGGATTTAAGTTTAATTTTTTCATACTGGAATTTAATTTTTCAGCTCGTTCAAATGGATATTTCATGTCGTTTGTTTTTTGTGTTTCCAAAAGTAACATTATTTCTTTTTTTAGTTTTGATTTTATTCGCTCGTCGTATAAATATTGAGATAATAAATTCAGTTTGCCATGTAGTAGCCGATAAGTTTTATTTACCTAAAAAAAAAAAGTCCATATAATTAACATCATATAATAACGAGTACAATTTGTTTGGTGCAAAAGTGAAAAGGTATTCAAATTACAACAATGTGTTATTAATAATTTTACTATCTACACAGTCGGATCAAAGCATTCGTTTAAAGTGATTTCATCACTATGACTCGAACTGGAGCTGGCTTCATTATTAATAAAAGTTATGTAACTTACTGCAGTGCTCAATATTCCTGTACCGTGAATTCGAATAGAATTGCTCATGTGCCGTATGTTTATTGTATTTAAATGTTTACTAGTGCTGTGATTTTCAATAAATATTTGATTGCTTAGATTATAAGAAAATGTTGACACAAATTCATTTAAATTTCTCATTATTTCAAGAACATCCAAGCCCTAAAAAATAACAATTATTATTATACAAAATGTAAGCGGCATAAGGTATTAAAAAATGTAGGTACAAGTATATAAACATGTTACAACTAAATTTTATGTTTTTCACACTTTAATTTAAAAAAATATTTTTTTCAATGAAGTATAAAAATATTTTTTCTTAAATGGAATAAAAAAAATGTTGAATATTTATGTATTCTACTCAATACAACTTTTTAACCTGTTCTAAAGTTTTACTAGGTAATTTGTCTTCCACCGTTTCCAAGTTCACTTTATATTTTGCCAAAGTTCTCATTACCCCATTGTTATGCCAATCGTGTAGAGCAACGGTCGTTAAATCATAAAACGTTTCACTGAGATAATTTTCTACTCTACCTGCAAAACAGTGTAAATTGAATTTCAGTAAAAATTAGTATTAAGTTTATAATTGTTGTCGTTTCACACATTTGGTGTCAATAAACTGTGTTAGAAACTGTATAGGTTTTAGTTTTATCATATATGTATGTTCATGGATCGGTTCGTGAAGCATCATTTTGACAAACTGTACTTGAGTCATGACCTGAAGACGCAGTTCATTCTCAATACCGGGATTCATTGGGTTCAAAATCTATTTAAAAAAAAAAAAAAAAAAATGATTTTTAACACACAATTTTTTTGGCAATTTCTTACAAATAATACAAATAGTTATGTTGGTGAAATCTTACTTGATCTTGAAGATACTCATTGATTTCGTTAATGAAAGATTCATATGACTTTTGTTTAGTTACTTCATCACTAAAATGAGTAACTTTTTCAATATCCGCTAGAGCATTAAGTGTCGTCTTTGTGAAAACATAAACCAAAAAAAAAAAAATAAGTCAAATCATTCGGTTGTAAGTTATTACCAATTTAAAAACATACCGAGAGTCCGTTAAAATTTTTGTACGTTTTGTAAACGTTTTTGAAGTATAATGGAAACACTACGCGATGCCAATACATACAGCTCATTTCCGATATGTTGTTCATTTCGTCTTGCAAAAGGTATAAATGTTCAATTTCTTTTAGGCGTTTTGACAAGGCCAACAGTTCCCCTTTTTGGAATGCTTGTAATCCAACAGCTGTATTCAACGCCAATTTTATCATTAAAAACCGATGTTTCATCTTCGATTCGTGAAGTAATTTCTCACTAACTTCCAAAGACGACATTATATCGACATTTTTTGTACTGAAATATTTTTCTTCAGAATAGGTTCCCTAAAGTAGAAATGTAAAATACTATTTTTAAGCGCACAAGTAATACAGAAAATACTTGACAACCGTGTTGAGTTAAATTTATATCAAATAACAAAAAACATTTTCAAATGATTTTTTTTTTTAAATTAATGAATAAAAAATATATCAAAACAACAAATACTATATTTTATGCTCTTTGTTCTCTTTTACATTTTCTTTACTATTTTAATAAAGTCCAGCTTTATATTTAGACATTTAAATTTTAAACAAATAATAAATAAATTGTTTGATAGAATAATTTTAAAGAAAATAACAAATGAAAAATCTATGGTACTTAGGAAAAAACTGCCTATCTGAAACGTTCAGTACTCAACATTTTAAATTCAAAAATGTATACCGCCAAATCAAAATATCAAAATTCACTTACGTATTACCACTGATATAATCGTAGTATTAATTTGATTTTTTTACCGAAAAATCCATGTTTTTTTTTTTTATCTAGGTACTATTTTGGTAAATTTTTACTAAGACAGTTTTTTCCGAGCACCAATGAAATAATTTTGTCATAAATAATAAAATAATAAAAAATTAAATAAAAGATAACAAATTACTCGCTTTATCTAGATAAAAATTATTTGAAAAATCCCAACTTTGCTTGACATACAACCAAGTTCTTACTAAGAATATATTAATATTTGTTCTTACTTTTACTTCACCGATAATCAAGAGACATTCATATTCCAAATACTGGATAACGTCGACTATTAGCATAGAAGTTTTAATGTGATGTCTACGAAAAACATAAGCAATGTTGTTCAATGTTTCAAACAGTTGACAAACTAATATTACATTAGTCTTGGTCAGCGGTTTTCCTAGAGCACTATGTAAATTGGAAAAAGTTTTAATAGTAGTTTTTATGGAAAAACACAACTGAATACCCTAAAAAAAAAATCAATTGAGTGATTAAGTTTTATTAAAGTCGGAATGTAAAGTTAAAAAGTAAATCTACATTTTACAAGTGACACGGAAAAACTATAGATTTATAAAACGTTATGGTGTATAACAAATGTAGCATGAATGCTTTCGTTTTACAAAAAGTATTGAAACTTAAACTAGCGGGTGTCTTGATGTTATATAAAATATGCATACCTCGGTAAAGAAATTACATAAATCTTGCATAGAGTTTAATTTTGGCACTTGAAAATCAGTCGTCTTCATGAAATGTTCACTTTTAGTAAACCATACCATCGCCTATAAAACAGATATTTAATATTAGTAATATGTGTTTAAAGCCATGTTTAAGAAAATTTTCAAAGAAAACAAGTGTAAACCTGTTGTAAATAATTTAAAGCGGTTTTTGGAAAATTTCTTGTAATATCCATCAATTCTATCGAGCACTTTTCCAAATTGTCTTGTTTTTTTTTTGTGTAATTAGGCCTTAACAAATCTCCAATGTAATGCATGACAAACATTTCTGGATACCAAACTAAATTTCCATCCAATGGAATGTGATTCACCTGTTTGTTTACAACAAAACAAACAATCATCAATGAACAAAGATATTATACAGTAAAAACCAAGAATCATTTAGATTACAAAAAATAATTTGTATTCGAGAGGTGAAAAAAAAATCCTTACCTTCTCTAAGAATTCGGTAAATTGTTTGAGCAATTTTTTGTCGAAAACTCCAAACATGTACGTATAAAAAACGGTAGTAGTACAGATACGAGACCACATACGCAGTGGATCAATGGCTTTTAAATGAAATCGCTGTCCCAAAGTGTAAACAGCATTGTTTAAATACAATCTAAATTCATTTACAAATTCATCACAAGACTGAATAGACTTCTTTTCCTTCAAGTCAGATTTCAAAATTTTCTAAAAAAAAATAACATATAATTATCAACTTAATACAGTGAAAATAATATGAACAAAAATCGAATTAACGTACTTGAAATATTTTTCCAGATAGTAAGGTCGATTCTATTTCGTCACATATATTTTCCAATTGAACAATACTGTCTAAACTGCAGTCGTATTTTTCTGGATTTTGTTTAATATTTGCCAAAGAACGTCGATAATGAAACCAATGTTGTTGCAAAACTGGTTGAGAAGTTAAAAGCTTATCTAATTCGACCAATAGGTAGAGCAGATCTCCAATATAGTCAAAAATGCCCTGCATAAAGATAAGTATTAAAAACAGTATCGAGTCTTAAAGTCAGGCAAACAATTAGGTTTAAAAAAAATTGTTGTTACTTAAAATTTATAATATAAGTATTAATTATTTAAATTAAATAAGTGAGTAAACATTGTGTCTCATAGTCTACAAAATGTTTATTTTACAAAAACAAATATTATCGACTTAATTTGTTTCAAAAAAAAATTAAGGCAAATTTATTTTTTAATAAATAAAATTATATTTTATTAAAATTCATTATCACTAATAAGCAAAGGGAGGTATGCGACTAGTTAACAATTAACAGGGAATATAATTTAAGGTAGCTTTAGGTCATATGGGTATTTATTTTAATCCTTAAGTGGTTCTAATAGGTATAAAATTAATGTGTAAATAATTTAGTGTAAATTGGTTAAGTAAATTGTAAATAAACTTTATGAACTTTTATGCTTCATACTCAATTATTTAAGAAAATATTGTATTTTTCTAATAAATGTAAAGAACATGAGTTATAAATATAAGTTATAACTGTCTATTAATATTAAATATAAAACAATATTTTTATACAAAGCAATTATAACGTGATAGTAACCAAAAGCAAAAAAATAAAACATTGAATTTTTGGAAAAAATGCGTTCTAGAACTCAAATGGCTGGAGGTCGCCGGGTGAAACTTAATCAATTAACATTAAATTTGTTACACTTTATTTTTATACATATTGGAACCACTTGATGGTGTAAGACTGAAAAAAAAAATTATTTTGAAAAATAAGGACCACCTAGAAGACATGTTATACTTAAAAAGACAATTCTATATAACTGTATTTTAATCTGAGGTGTAAATTTAATCATAATAGTAACTATTGATTACAAGAATTTAAAATATTTGAATGGAATTTTTATTTTTACTAATAATAAAAAAAAAATATTTTATTACTTGGAAATGTATATCGGCAATTATTGAACGGAGTTCAAAAACATTAATAAATTGACAGTGTATTTCACTCAACAAGTATTCACAGTGCTTAACAAATGAAGACAGTTCTAATAATATTTGTAAAAATTTGCTTATTTTTATTTGTTTTAAGCCTTCATTTTGGTTATCTTCATCTAAAAAAACATTATTTTTAGATTAATTATTGAATAATAACCATATTGTAAAATTGATTTTACCACAGTCTTCGTAGTAAAGTATAGAGTTAAACAATTTCGGTTTAACATTAGTTTTTAAATCTGTAATTGCTGAACATATAGTAGAAAATATTTTCAATATATTGCTCAGCACGTGATTGTCAATATCTAGCACTTCGTCTATGGTTGCTTTATCAGACGCTTCAATCTTAAATAAAAAAAAACACATTACAATTATGTTGTTCACTAATTATTTAAAAGCTATGAGCTTACTTTAACATTGATGGGTGTTTTGGAGACAAACAGTTTATTTTTCAACGTAAGGTTTAATTCGTCCAAGCACGATACATGATCGTTCAGTAGATTGTTGTACGTTTGGGACTGATTTGGAACTACGGTTTCTAAAATAAATGAAAACATAATTACTTAACTAACAACATAATTGTTCCTGAAGGAAAAACAATTTTTTGCTACCCCTGGATTGTTTTTAATTGCCAAAAAGAAGAAACTTTTAAAATTTCAGCTTAAATTTCTTGGACAACTTTAAATAGTTTTTATATATATATATATATATATATATATATATATATAATATAAGCCATTAAATCAACACGTAAAAAGTATATTTTTTATTAAAATTGTCAGAACTTCTAAATATTTTTTAAATTAAAAAAAAGATTCTGAAAGCAGACACTTGTACCTTTAAAATCATTTTATACATTTTTAGTTTATTTCAGTTCTTTAATTACGTTTTAATTTAAGAGGGAAAATATGCAACTATAGGAACCGTTAAGAGTTATCCTAGAAGGCTAATATTAAATACATTTCTTCTTTTCGACAGTTAAAATGATTCTGAGGGTAGCGGAAAATGTTTTCTTTTTTAGTCTTTCTAACTATACTAAATAAACACAAACAATATTTTCAATTATAGCATACTGGGGATAAAGGAAATTACTGGAAAATGAAGTGTAATTTTCGATATACATACATAATATATTTGACTTGATTTTAATTTGCATACTTACTGTGTTTTTTTTCTACAATAATTTTATCCGGATCACCCCACATTTCAAAATTAGTAACACATTAGATCCTGAGAATTTTTTTTAAATATAATTGACTAGTGCTCTAACGCTTCGTTTAAGCCATTTTATTTACTAAAACAACGTTTATTATTATTATTATGTAATAGCTAATTAACAATCAATCCAAATTCCAGCGGGTTTCCAATACAAACCAATATCTGATAGCCTCGTAAAAGTGATAACGAGCGTTATCACATTTGGAGAATTGAAAAACTGATAAGATAATATTTCTGATAATAAATGGTTGATTAACTTATATCGTAACGTAACTTAAAAACCGCAATATAATAATAATATGCAATTATAAACATAGGATTAATTACTTTCATAAATGTATTAAACGTAGGCTTTCAAAAAGAATCTTTGTTATGGTCTGTTCACACTGAACGATTTTGTAATGCGACCCGTGAATATTCTTTTTGGATTGTTAGTTAAAAAAATATCCATTATAAATTAAATAAACCACTTCAGTTGTAGCTATTAATCTCGTTCTATAGGTTTGTCGTTCCGCCTATTTTAGTTCCAAGCATAAAACAACACAAGTATAGATTATAACACCAAAAACCGCATCTTTTTCAACTTTTGCCAGTACAACAGGAAATATTTGCAAAGCTCTAAACTCTGTGCTTCACTATTAAAAGCTTACGTTGCATGACAGGTATCCAGACATGGACTCGGTGGGAGCAGATTTTTTAGCTCACATCCAGGAAGGACAGCTTTACAAATACACCAACGTCGTCAAAGGATGGCAACACAGATGGTTCATATTGGATCCGAGAGAAGGAACATTGAGCTACTACTTGGTATGCATAAAATGAATTTATTTATTGAATTGCAAAACATTTTGGGAACTTACACCAACTTTATGAATTTCAGAGCGAAAACGACACAAAACTGCAACCTCGAGGCTATATATCCTTGGAATCTGCCGTGATATCGCCCAGCGACGAAGACTCTAATACGTTCAGTGTCAACTCTTGGACGGGCGAATGTTACAAACTCAGAGCTACAGACGCGCGTGCTAGACAAGATTGGGTGAACCGTTTAAGAGCTACTGCAGAATATCATTCACAAGTAATAACTTGCGTTAGCAGTATAGGAATGATTGTGGTAATGCTGAATTTTTGTTTTAATGTAGAAAAATATTCAAGCTAGCTTGAGAGATTATCCTAGAATGAGCTATGTGTCGGACTTTTGTCCAAGTGGTGTGAAAAAATCGTTCGCCGATGCTCGACAACATTTGTCCCAAGCTGAAAACAGTTACATTGACATAGTACGAGTCATTGAAAAATTGCCAAGCCAAGGTATTTTACAAATGTATAGCTCAATGTACAATTAGTGAAGAATGCTTTAAAATGTTGACATTTTTATATAATGATCTCAAGGTAAATTTAAATATGTTTTGTCACCCCACAAACAGAATTTGATCTTGATCACCTGATTTCTTCTGTAATTATAAATGGTAAAATAATGACGGTGTTGTAACTAAAATTAAGGCATAGTGTACCCAAGTGCTAACAATGTTATTGTTTCAAAGTTTGATAATAATATTTTTAAAATCACTTTTTGGTAGGAAATTAATTATTTTAAAAATATTTACAAACTTTCCGACAATATATTGAAAAACTAATTCTTATTTGACAGCTCACTTTTGTGCCAGAATGAAATCAATTTTCCTTCAAATTTGTATTATTTTAACTCATATTATAAATTGGACTTAATGTTTCAAGCCTTAACTACTACATAAAAAACTAATTGTAAATTTAGTAATATTAATTAATTAAAAGGTGACAAAAAGGTAATCTAATTTTATGTTCTTTTCATAATGGGTTTTTTAAGAACATAAAAGAAAAAAACAAATTCGTTTTATTGACATGGAAATTTTTATTTTCCAAAATATCAGGATTAGGATTCCTAAAATTGTATAACTAAAAAAAAAACAACTGTTGAGTATGAACTGTAAATTATTTAATTATTTTTCTAAACTTTATTTTGACAGTTTGTTCCTATACTCCATAATGATTAAAGTTCAGTTTTTTTGATAATATGGACAATTCTATTTTTAATAACTCAAAACTTACTGAAAAGTATTAATAAAAAACAACACAAGGTCAAACTGTTTGTTTTAATGTGTACATTTTTCAATTAAAAGGTTCAAGTTGTTTTTTTTTAATGTGACATAAGGGTAAAACTAATATTCATTAATCGTTTTAATTTATTCTATTGTTATTTTATTAACTTTGTAAATTTGTAAACATTGTAATTTATTGTAGATCAATATTAATTTTGCTCTTTAAGTTTAAACCAATGAGTTGGTACATGAAAAAAGGACCTTCTTATTTAAATTCAATTTTGAAAAAATAAAAAAAAACTTTCTAGCTTTTTGCACAAGACTATTTGTTTTGTTTCATGCCAAAAAGGATTTTAGTTCAAGAATAAGACTCTTTTTCCAAATAACCAACCGTTTTCTAGCCCAGGGAGTTTCTGCATAACGTCCATTCTTGCATAAAACTTTGAAAATTCTGCCAAAACTAAAAATCCGTTATTAACTTGCTTCTGCCAAAATGGCGCGGTGCTAAGGTCTCATTTTGTACGTACAAGTATGTTAAAAACAAATAAATAAAATATTTTACTATGATTGTGTACTAGTCTTTAAATATATACGACAACTGTCAACTGTTGACAGTTTCATTACGAATGAAACTGTCAAAGAAAATAAATTACCGAGTACATCGTTGATGATTCTTCAGGATGACATAAATAGTACAGTAATATTTTTATTAAAACTAAAAATTAAGTAAATACTTATATAAAAACTAGTAATAAAGTAAAATAAATTGAATGACTTAAAAGAAAAAAGTAATTTATAAAAACTAATTTTAAAAATGGTGAAAAAGTTACTTATTAGGGAGTTCTAATTAGGCCACAGTAAGCTTAATAATCATGTATGATAATAACTAAACATTTACTAAACATTTTATGTGTAATATTAAACTCAAATGATTTTATTTTGTTCAGGTACAAGACTGAAATGTACGGATCCGGACTTGTTAATTATTAAAGCCACTTCGCAGTCGATGATGTGTGCACTAGAAAACTGTTACAAAATATTACAACATTCGAGCATAGAACAACCGATTGTACGGACATATTCGTTTTTGAATTCAAAACCTTCTTCGTCTTCGACACACTCAAAAAGGAAACATTATACTCATAGCAGCACTTGAGCACTTGAAATTAAGCGATTATTATTTCACACTGTCATTTATTTTTTCTTGTTGGTAAATTAATAGTTGTTCTTATCTTTGAATAGCGCTTTACTTAATTTTTAATTTCCTACCTTTTTTTTTATTATAACTGCATGTGTTTACCTGAATCGCTATTTTGTTATCATTTTTTTTATAATTGATTGAAATTAAACTTATCATTGGTACTTCTAATTATTAATAATTATTACTATTGTACAATTTAACTTGTAATAGCATTTTTATGTATTAAAATTGTTGGTGAATTATAATATTTTACCATTTACAACATTTTGGATTGTAGACCATAAATGTAGTTTAGGACTTGAATTAGTGATCAAATAATTACACTTAGCATTATATACAACGCTCTTAGAAAATTATAATAAAAGTGTTTTAGTTTTAATGTATATAAAATTGGATTTGTATACAAATATCAAAATGGACTTAATAAAGATTTGAGATTAAATAGTAACATAAAATTATTAACTTATTTAAATAGGAGCTCATATTAAGTTAAAATAAATTTTACTCTTAATAAATAGGTTTTTTTCTTGGTAATTTAGTTCCCGAAATATTGCTTTGACAATTATTATTGCCATAAAAGTTCCTCAATTTTTAAATGTTTATACATAAATACTAAAATACTGGGTGTAATAATAAAAATAAAAATTATTGCAATTATAATGTAAAAAATTTTAACAATTATAAATTTGTTGTCTTTTATATAAAATTTGGCCCGAAGACATAGTCAAAAAATATAGATTTGTCGTATACAAATAATAAAAAAAAATATCTAGTTAAGATCATCAATTATATAATATAAAATCAATTTACAAATGAGTAAATGATGTACGCTAAAATTAGGGTAAAACTTACACCGGTAGATTTAATAGCTCCGCCTTTCAAGTGTGATGCTTGCTGGCCACACGCTGGTGGACACACTGGAATTATCGTTTCTGTTGAACAGATGCCATAAGCGTCAATTATAAATTAATATAAATTGTATGAGTAGAAAATTGAAAAAAAATGTTATACCATAAAGATTGACGGTCGCTTCGGCAGTTCCCAAGACATTGGACGCTTTGCAAATGTATTCTCCGTATTGACGTTTCTCTATAGTGATAATACGAATAGTTGTGTCTGTAAATTCATCAGCGGTGGCAAAATGCGAAATTCTAAAAAAAAAAACAAAAAACAAATATAGAACAGATTTGAATTAAACTGTTACTCGAGCAATAATACCACTTTCAGTTTAAATAATTTATTCCTATTGCTTTTGTCCTACAACAACTAATAATATTGTTTTAAAACTATATTAATTCTATTAAAATATTAAAAAAATATTTTTTAAACATTTTTTGAGAAAATGTAACAATAAGTGAATCGCTATAGAAAGCTTGTCATAACCGCTATCAATAACTATTTTATAGGTTTTTTTAAAATCTGACCGATAATGCTGATTGTTTGAAAGCTGAATGCCATTCTGTATCCAAATGATTGCTGGTGGCGGATATGCTTCAACGTGACATTCCAAATCCATATCGTATTGCAGTGCCTGTCCAAGACGGGGTTTTGATACAGTAATAACAGGCGCAAATTCTACTTCCACAGCAATATTACGTCGGGCGCCCCGACCAACTCCATTTTCAGCAACACAATAGTACGTTCCACGGTCTTCCTTGGTAATTGCAGAAATTTTCAAAATATTCCCCCTATGCAAAAAACAAATGTTCACTAAAACAACTTTAATGTTATGGACAGCATTTAAAAAAATCCATTCAGCCTCCATTTTTGAAAACGTGACTGGTTCTACGTTTTTTTTTTTATGTTGGCTATCCAACACACCTGTAAGTGGAACCCCCGGTAGGTAAAATTGCATTATTGACACGCCTCCAAGATACTCGCGGTATCGGGAAACCTCCAGCATAACATTCAAGTTTTACAGGTTGGCCTTCATTGACAACCAACGATCTAGTCGAGTTATCAGAAATTATTGGAGGACGGCGTACTTCCAACTCAACTTCAGCTGATATTTTGTTATTCAAGCCGAGTGAGATCTGACACTGATAAAAGCCAGCATCGGTTTCTTGTATATCTTTGATCTAGATGAACACACATATTACACAAATTATAATATAACCACATACTTTTATCTTGCAAACGTATTAATTATAAATGACATCGTAATTAATGCATTACTTGTAGTGTGTAGCTCGTACTGTCAATATCTTGACGCAGCGCAAACCTTGAATCTTTAATAATAAGCGTACTACCAGTAGAAAGTACGACGGGTTCGGTTACTTTTGCTCTGTCAATTTTCACCCATAGTACAGGAAAATCTTGAGCATACAGTACAGAACACGTTAATTCCGCAGTTCCTCCGATATCTTTGATTGGTTTTTGCGTGATATGAGAAATAGTCGGCGTCCTCTGGCTCAAAACTTAAAACAAAAGATGTAATTTGTAATAACACATAAGGTAATTAATAAACTATACGCTACACGTGGTTCCACAAAAAAAGGTTTTTGTGTAGAAACCAAAACGAATTGCTCTCACCTGCGTTTTCATTTTGGCTTCTGCACGAGTACCTTTTATTGAGAGACAGAATATAAAAATTTATTTTTCAGCCTTCCGTAACAAATAAAAAAATAGTGTAAAAATGAAATAATTAATTCCAGTATTTAATTGACGCTTGTATTACTACACGATCTTATATATATAATTTAGTTAATAGTTTATTTAATTTGTTATTTATGCAACCTGTTATAATGTAGAACAATAAGCATATTAGATGTAATATTTACAAAGGACAGATTGACTGAGTGAAGAGCCCTCCCTATGACTTAATGGGTCTTAACAGTAATTTGTAGAGTAACAGGTTGGTAGGTAGTTTTATATGTTTAGATGTTAGTAGCAGACGAAGAAGACAAAATCTATTGTTAAGTAACCTTATTTTACTAGTTATGTAAGGCAGTCAAGTAAGACGACGATTGATGATAATACCGAGGTAGCACACGAACTGAGCACTAGGTAGAGGCAAGTTGTTAAAAAATAGTGTCGGACATGTTCAATGACGGAGTGTAAATTAACAATTGATGGACTTGGCTTCATTCATTTTTACACCCAATTATACAAAGTTTCAAAGAGATAGAGGTGGTCTTGGACATAGATAGAAGCTAGGATAAGACTAGGGGATATATAAAATATAACAGTAAAACAATTGCTATAGTTCTTATTTATATTATTACTATAGTAATTATTAGTTTTCTTTATAATTTTATATAATTATGAGTATAAATATTATATATGAGGTAAACTAAAATATAATTATTACTAATTATACTTTTTTAAGCAGTCATTTAAGTTGAGTGTATTTATTTATTGTCATAATATTAGCTTTTAAAATGTAAAAATACAAATTTTTAACAAACTAGTATCGATATTTGTTTCAAACTCAAGGTAAATGGACACATAAAAAATAACTCTGCCGTCAAACATAGATACTCCTAATAATAAACGGACTAGAATGCAAGAGTCTAATAAATCAAAAACATTTTAAAATACGGTCCCGGAGATCTTTCAGGGCCACTCCCTAGTAACGTAAAAAGTGATGTACTTTGTGAGTAAACAAATATATATTCAGTAAACATTTGTTTGTTTTCATTTGTATATTGTTACACGTCGTACACGTTAAGTATTATACTAAAAAAAAACTGTTACAAGTACAAAAAATACTTACCCAACAAAATATCGAAAACGACGAAAAACGTAATGAAGTTTTTCATTTTTGAACACATTTGGCCTGTTGATCGGATGAGATTCGTTGAACGATTTTAGGAGGGAAACAAGTGGACGGATTCTAAAATAAATCTAATTTAAGTCAAAAAAAGAGTTGTCGAATAAATATTTTATTATTCATAATTATTATTTGTTGATTGAGGTTCGAATAACGCAGTTATCAAATAGAAATTTGAAATAAACAAAAAGCCAAAACACAGCCCACTTGAGGAATGCGAATGCGTTACAACTCATTATCAAACACTATTGTATTTTCACCGCAGTGTTACCACATGTGCGTTAAACACAATAATTACGCCAAATACGAATTTTACAAACCGTTTTTAAAATTGCATTGTTTTTTATACATACTTTAATTTTCATTAAACTTAAATATTATGTCAATGAGAAAAATATTATTTTAATGATATATATATATATATATTTTTTTTTTTTATAACTGTATTAAATTCTATCCGTATGCTTTTATTATCGATGGGTATCTCGGAATTTTTTTAGAAAAAAAATACCGATTCAATAAAGAACTTCATAACATAATAAAATAAATTATCTCTAGTATAATTTATAGGTATTTACAGCACATTTACACATTTATGGGTGGTTATTACATAAGTACACTTAATTAATGTACGGCATTAGAAGCGCAGTTTTATATCTTGACATTAAAATAAATACGTGTTTGTAATAACAAACAATCAGTTATACTAATAATAGTGTGATGTAAAATTATTTCGCAAAAAAATAAATAATAAAGTTTAATTAGTCAATAAAATTAATTTTGTTTATGATTTTTTAAATTAAACTATCTAAAATAATAAAATAATGAAAAAACCTTATTAAAAAATGTGTTTAATTCATTAAATTTGACTCGTATAATAATTGACATGTTTATTTATTAAAATTGGAAATTGAAATAATTATTTTTTATACCTGTAATAATGATAAGTAAATAACGAGACAATTGTTATGCAGTCGCAAAACCCCAAGGTTATCGAAATATTATGAAGTAGACACATTATTAAGAATTTATTTATTTTGACTTAAGTAACACAGTTATGACATAACAGACATAGTATGAATAATATTGAGTATGACTTAAAATTAAGAAATACAGTGAAGACGTAGAAAAGTAGAAAGTGAATAGCAAGACTACGACTGACTCAAGAGCTCAAAACTAAACCCTAGGTCAGTACATTCCTGCTGACACATACACAGTTAAACGAAATGGAATATTTAGAGGTTCTTAACACAGTAATAACAAAAATGTATTAAAATATGTTTTGTAAAGGCTTATTCCAAGACCAATTAAAGTTAACCAAGCTGTATTATAGGTACTGACAGATTCAGTATATTTTTGGGTTTAATTACGCTTAAAAAAAATTGTAGAGGTTTGGTTGACCTTTATATGTAATTTATGAATAGGTAGTGAGACTACCTACTACGCCCATAGGTACTTAATTCTTAAAATCAACTAATACTTAGCACCTACTGTACGGCTTATTTAGGCTCGTCTTTCTTATTATGTCTGTATTTACTTATTTGTCATTTGTTTGGACGTATCCCTTACTATTTACTAAATAAAAAAATGTATTACCATTAAAAAAATCGACTTTACATAGTAGATATGCTAGATCTACCCGATGGTAAAAACAAGTCTTCAGTGGCCGGCAAGTCTAACTCGGGCACGGAATCGATGTCAACAACCGTTTCAGGAGGAATCCACGTAAAACATTCCAAGTACAGTAACTGTTTCTCGTTGAGATGTTTTTCCGGAGGTTTCGCCGGCTTCAACGGTTTGGGGATCGTTGACCTGTAGGGCAAAATCTTTTGAATCCTCCGGCTGACGTCCGAAGGCAGAGTGAACAGTTGTTTGCTTCTCTTTTCTGTGCTATTGATGGCGTCATACTCGAGCTTCATCGACCGATGCCTGAGCGCATCGTTCTTCTCACATATGGCCACAGTCTGCTTGGCCTTGGCCAGAAGGTCAGGTGACAGATCGTCTAGCTGTTCTTCGACCCGGTCTAAGGCCGTGAACAATGCCACGATCATGTTAAAAGGCCCGGCCAAGCTGTTCTTGTATTTAAGCGTCTTGTAAATGGTATCGCACATGGACTCCACGTTGATCATGCTTTCGCTCATGAACACATCCCTCAACGGTTCCCAGGTATCTTTTTCTTCGGACTTGTCCTCGACAATCTCCCCTTGTCTGAACTTGGCCCGAATGAATTCGAACTCGTCTTTCATTCGGTCGACCCTTTCGGTAGCGTTGCGGTCGTTGTCCGTTATCAAGTCGTCCTCTACCAGCTGCTTCATCCAAGTCACATGCGATTCTGCGTGTAAAGTCTGTAGCTCGAGTACTTCCATCTTTTCAATAAAATCATCCACGTGCGACCAGTACATTGCTGTTCCCGGCTCCTGGGCAACGTCCGCCGGCTTCTTGTCGTGGAAGGTGGAGTCCACGTCCTCCGACGTTGCGTGAACTACGTTAGCCGCTTTTTGCCATTCCGGCGGACTCATCCTGATTAAAAAGCTGCGGCAAGCCTCCGGGATCACCTGTTTCTTGCCCAGAGAATACACCTTCATGTGCAGGTTTCCCTCCACCTTGACGCACTGGTCCAGCTCGATGGCCATCTTAGCGGTCACCCCGGCCGCTATGTTGTACTGACGCTGAGCGGCCGACTTCGAGTTGAACGTGGACTCGAGGTACTCCATGAATTGCCCCTTCTGCCGTTTCAGCCGGTCAAGTTTCTCCCGCCAGTGGGCCTCTTCGCGGTGCATGGCCATCTTCAAGTTTTGGTATTTATCTTCGACCGATCCCAACGACAGGTTGACCTTTAGTAGCTTCTTGTAGTCCACCTCCGGCATTGGCGGCTCAATCGTCGAGTTGAGCAAAGCAGCCCTCAACACTTCGTCATCGTCCACTTCTACTTCGTCATTACCTTCACTCGAGCCTGACTCGTCCGCCAATCGTTGTTGGTCTGTGATGGTCGACTGCAGATTAGACCCATCTAAAGAGTCCACGGTGATGTCCTCCTCCCATCGTTTGGTATAATCTATCAATAGTTTCCTCAGTTTGCAGATGTCCTGGCGTATTTCGAAATCTGGCATGATTTTTTCGTTCATCATCAACAGCGGAACCATTTTGCTGTTCGCCATTGTTGTACTTTATCCTAAAAAACAAACTTAACCCGGTTATATTTTATGATTCAATTGCTTGACCGACGCGTCGGTTGGTCAATATTTGATTTGCTATAGAAGACTTGCGACCTGTTTTTTAGTCAATTTACTAGCTAAGTTTAAAATTTAATAGTCGTTTGTTACTGACCGAAAATAGCTGATTTAATTATTAGCCAGTAAAAGCACATACAATTAAACTATTTAATTATTTTAATAAAGAAATTCGCAAGGAAGTATCTTTGGGTCTTCAAGGACTGTTAATTGACGATGATATTTTATCAGGGATTGAAAACGTTACCTAGTCAAAATTTACATTATTCGTTATAACTAGAACAAACTTTGATATAAAATATTTCTAGTATGATAATCTGATAGTTTACCTAATTACCCGAGTTTAAACTTGTAATCAAAATTAATAAAATAAAAACATTTTAGATTTAAGTGTTGTTTTTTGGAACTATATAAAATACCTATTGTTCCTTGAAACGATTATAATGTTCCAATCATTTTCAATCGCTTTATTTATTAAATGTTGTATCATTAGGTTTAATGTAGACAATAATTGGCTTATGAAATAATTAAATTACTTAAATGTTACATTTTTTCTTATATTTAACTTGTATTTGGTTGAATAATGCTTGGACTTATTTAAGATAGACAATTAAACAATAATTATAATATTATTAATAATAAATTTATTTGTTATTCACTTAAAAATAATGATATAAAATAAAAAATAATTCAACATAAATAAAAATTCAATTTCAATTTAATCAATGTCAGTTTGTAAGCTTTATTTTTATACTTAATAACATTGAGTCTTAGATACTACAATGCTATAATCTACTACAAAGTTTTTTTTGTAAAAATTATATCAAATGAAACTTAAAATATATCGGCGACTTCTAATAGTTGACTGTCGGATAAGTCATCAGTAACTTGATAAGCTTCGGCTGCATCTAGTAGTTGGCTGTCAGATAAGTCATCGGTAACTTGAAAAGCTTCAGCTACTTCTTGCGATTGACTGTTGGATGAATCTTTTGTAACTTGAAAAGCTTCTGCTACTTCTACTATTTGACTGTCCGATAAACCATCAGGCGCATTATTAGTGTACTCAAAGCATATTTCGTCAGGTAGTTTGGTACCATCCGACCTATAATTTTCACAATCTGGATCGTAACATTTTTGATACCAGTACATTTCATTTAAATCTACAACGTATTTGACGTTATTATTTTTATGTTGCCTCTTAATATTTCCGCAGTAACGATTTTTTATTATACTATATACGACTTTATTGACTGAAGGAAAATAATGATTTCGAAATATCTTGCCAGGAAACACAAGATTAGATATAAATTGGTCGATCCTTGGAAAAGGTGAATGCGTATATGACGACTGACAATCGGCGTTATGTTCTCTGTCGAAAGCAACCTGTTTGTTTAGTAACTGACTTCCATTTTGGCTGGTTACATTTGTAAAATTCAATAATACGTCACTGTTACAACCAAATGTGATTAATGATTTTAAAAATATTATTTTATCAAGGCAATCATCACAATGAGCATTGTCAGGGAATTTATATTTGTTTGTTTTGCTTAGTACCAAAGGAACGTTTTTTTTTAACTTGGAAGATTTGTACAGTCTAAAATGTCTATTCCTAGAATAAACCCCTTCATCGCAAAATAAACCTTTGTCTGTCTTTAAACTAAGAAGGTCTTTTATTGTGATTCCTCCATAGAAACAACTCGAGTCGTCAGAGTCAAAATCTTCCAGAATCATTTTTTTTACTTCAGCACATACAAATTTAACAAAGTAACCGGCTTGAACATTGTTGGAAAATACCAAAGTTTGAAAAATTAAGTGGTGACTGAATTTCTCCGCTGTTGATGAATCCAAGTCAAGAACATCTTCTTCAGAACATTCTATGTCAAATTTCTGCTTTACAAATAGCATGACAATTTTTATGAAGGTCTCTAACATGTTTATTCCGTTCGAATTTGTATTTTCTTTGTGTTCAAATTCTAGGTCAAAGTATAATTTACAAGGCTGGTTTTCGGCTATTATTTCATACGTGTGTCTTTCATTTAAAGGTTTTCGAGAGTCATAATACCAAAATGTTTCTGGGTGAGCAACCATAAAATATCGTTGACCAGTACTCTGTTCGTATGTAAACGTCATACACCCGTTTGACTTGGTCGATGCATATTCCAGTGCTTCATGTTGTCTAGGAAAGACTTTCCAGCCTATTGGCGGCCCTAACAATCGTTTCACATTTATCAAATGGCATGGTTCCCGCCTTACCTTTTTTTTTATCGACAACGACGACGAATGATGTATACTACGTTTGGAAGACCCATAAAAGTTAGAAGTAGTCAGACCCGACATTATTTTTCATAAACGTTTATCCGACGAGTATTAATTGAATTCGAATGACTGCTTGTGTTCATTTAGTCAATTTTGTACTGTTTATCTTGTACAGATACGGTCAAATTGAGTATTAATTGAAACAGTTGAAATGGAGTTTACAAGCGAAATGCGACTTAATGATTACAGTTATATTTTGAATGATTGAAATACTGAGATTGTAAATAATAATAAAAGTGATAACATTTATCAATGGAGGCAACTAGCGTTGAACACTCTGTCCAGCAGATGTCGTTAAAACTCGTTTTTTGAGGTTATCTTTGTAACTTGTATTTTGCTAGTCATTTTATCAGCAAAAATTGTAAAATTAAATGATTTTCATTATTTAATGTTTGTAATTTCTATTGAGTCGTTTGCTTTCAATAAATTTGCCTACTAATAGTATTGTTTTAATTTGTGTATTATTATTTGTACATAAGGTAAGTCATAGTGTAGTTTTTCTTTGTTACAACCCGATCGCATTTAAGAATGTGATGCATTTTTTAAATATTATACATATTTTATTTGTTACAATAATAATCAATATTAATATTCCTTTGTAATTTTCAAGTGTAACTATATTGTGTTAAATATAATTACAAGGTACACAATATTTGTACGTCAAGTTTTTACATTGAAAAGACAAAAAATCTTAAATAGTACCATTTACAAGTTTTGACGTTTACATAGCAATTAATCGAGAGTTTTATTTGAAAATGATTTCGCAGGTACAATGTCGACAAACGAGTCACCAATATCCAAGGTAGTTGTTCATCCTTTGGTGCTATTGAGTGTTGTCGATCACTTCACTCGGCTTGGAAAAATCGGCAATCAGAAACGAGTGGTCGGTGTTCTGCTCGGTTCGTGGCAACAAAACAAAGTGCTCGACATATCCAACAGTTTTGCACTACCATTTGATGAAGACGACAAAGACAAATCCGTATGGTTCCTCGACCACGATTACCTTGAAAACATGTATGGCATGTTCAAAAAGGTAAATGCCCGCGAAAAAGTTGTTGGCTGGTACCACACCGGTCCCAAACTGCACCAGAACGACATCGCCGTCAACGAGCTCGTGCGTCAGTATTGTGTTAACAACACATCTGTTTTGGTGATTGTGGACGTTAAGCCAAAAGATGTTGGTATACCAACTGAAGCGTACAGGGTTGTTGAACAAATTCACGACGATGGGTCGCCACCATCGAAAACCCTAGAGCATATATCTAGTGAAATTGGCGCGGAAGAAGCTGAAGAGGTTGGCGTTGAACATTTATTGAGGGACATCAAAGACTCTACTAGCGGTTCGCTCAGCCAACGAGTAGCCAATATTATATTCGGCGCTAGAGGTCTGTACAAACAAATGGTCGACATTAGGGATTATCTGCAGCAAGTGGTTGATGGGAAATTACCCTTAAATCATCAGATCATATACCAACTGCAAGAAATATTTAATTTATTGCCTGACGTAGACAAGGACTCGTTAGTAGCGGCTATGCACGTAAAAGTAAACGACCACATGCTTGCTGTATACTTGGCAACAATGATTAGAACTATAATTGCTCTACACAACCTAATCAACAACAAAATTGCCAATAGTGATGATGAAAAAAAGCAGCTGAGAGAACCCGAGGAGAAAAAAGAAGAAGTAGCTAAGAAAAAGGAAGTAAAATAATATTTATGACTATATTATTATAATTGTAAATAAATATTGCTAATAATTATACATTTTCTTTTTTTTTTAAAAGTATATCGCAAAAATTAATAATTACATTTACCGATCTTAATTATTATCTTGTGTTCTAACAATCTGTAATTTTTAGGTAATAAAGAAATCCTTTATTTTTAATTTTTATATCAACATATATAAATACAATAAATAAAAACTAATTATTCACATCACTAACTTTTTAATACATTACTTAGGTACCAAAGAAAATAAATTATAATGTCTCTCTAAGAAATAGATTGTATATAAATGGTTAATTAAAGCTATTGGTCAATATGTTGTTACTAGCAACAAAATCAAGCTATAATTATTACTGTGGAACTAAACAATATGTCATAATGAGTAAAAGGTTTACAAATAGAAAACATGATTACAATTACAAACTGTAACTATAACTATAACAATATTATACTGTTATGGAGGTAACATAAAACATCGATGATCTAATAAATAGTTGTATAAGTTGTATAGTAGCTATTGTCATTCTTAAAGGTCTTAAAATTATAACTTCCTTTTAGTTAATATTGACATTATGTCGGTATACATGTGGACACTAGGTGATGAAAACTGATTTTTTTGAACCAGCTTTGCATCTTTGGCAGTGAAGAGTGAAGATATCTTTGACTTATAAGGGAACTGTCATTATCTCTTAGAAAAGGCCAGATACTCTCTCGCCAAAATTATATTTCTTTGTTCATTCCATTCATCTCTGTGGTTTTTATTTATAACCCTACTCACTTTTTGAGATATATGGTTTGGGCATGTTGATAAAAGGAATATGAAGTAATAAAATTGTATAACAAAGACGAGTGTTGAGGGATTTAGTCATTAGTGACAGAAGTCGATGGCTAATGCACAGGTGTCATAATTATATACTTACATAAGTGATTTTTTTTTTTAGAAGTTGAAACATTATTGTACATATATATATATATATAAACAACTTTATTTAAAAAAAATATAAAGTGAGATGCACATAATATGTTGTGTTGTTGGTCGACACAGCATACTAGTCAATCGCGTTATTGACACAAACACATACAATTAAGTACTTCATTTAAAATGTTTAAAACAAAATAATTATTGTTAAACTATAGAAAGTGGAAGAAAAAAAAAATAAAAATTATTACAGTGGAGATATAAATGTAGTGTGTGGGTGACTATGAAATTATGAGTGTAGATGACTGTTTATTATAAACAAAGTGTCTTTTAAAATATTTAAACAAATAGAAACATTTGTACAAATATTGTAAGACAGAGAGAGATTCATAGTTTTGACGTAAGAGGGATTCAAGAGCTAAGTCAAATAGATATACTATGTAATAATTTTCAATGTTACTGTACAATTTTAAGGAAATGCAGTTATGACATTCTGTGCATTATGCATTAAGAGTAGAGGCGATGTGGGGAGGAGATCATTGGCGGGCATTGTTTTTTTTTTTTGCAGGGGGGAACTACCCCTTTCCAACTTGGCTTTTGTCGCATTTAAACGTACTAAAATCTAAATGTAGCTAAAAGAAAACGAAAGCGACTTGCACGATCCAAATCAAACGCGACTGCGTTAAGTAATTTTGGTAATTTTGGCCATGTTGATGCATCAAAAAGAATGAAAATGATATTAGGAATTCATGAACCGAACGTCGTTGCAATGGCGAGCCGCCAATACCCAACGGCGGTACTTAACGTCGGTCTTATGTGCTCCTGGTATCATAGCGTCCCGTGGTAAAGGCTACCTTACCCATTTTTACTTGCAAATTTCCCAATAGATTTACCCTACTCGGTAGTACGGCAAAAAGCCGCATCCGTTCCATTAGCGTGAACGACGAAACAGCTCAAAAAGATATTATAGGAAGTAGGATTGTATAACCCGAGTAGTGTGCGAGTAGTCTATGCATCCGTAAACGCAGTAATGTAAGAATAATTATAAAGTATTATATCTTCTATATTTTCGTCTTCTCTACTTTATTCTATACAAAACATGAGGTCGGTCAGTCAACTCTGCGCTTTCCGCAAATCTTCATGAGCCGACTAAAAGAACCAAAGGGAACTTAGCCTCCTCAAATATTCTCGTGTTTATCTGTACCTAACAATGAATTAAACATGAAAGATATGTTGTGTGTGAAAGGTAAATTATAATACATAATTATATGGTAATGTTATGCCATACAAATAAATATTTCACAATAGCTAGGTAATCGTTTTATTGAGTGTAAGCGATTTGTAACATCAAGTAGAATTGGGGAAAACACAAATTTTACATACGTCTTAACTCTTAACCCGAACAACTAAGCCAGGGTACTGAATTATTAAAAATAAAAGTTCCAAGTATCACGATACAAAAAAAAAAAATTGAATAAAAAAAAAAAATGTACTTGTTAACAAATTTAGTCATTTTTAATAGTTCAGTCTGAATCTGAATCTTGAACAATTTGTAAAGTTTAATTCAATTAAAAAAATGTATACATTTTGAAACAAGGTTAAATCAGAATTGTTTTTTTTTCAATTTAGCGTCACAATTTGATCGTGTTAAAACAGAGGATATAGACAACGGTGATATTAAAAGGTTAAATTAGAAAAGAGAGCGTAATTTAAAATTGGACAAGAAGTTTTCTAAAATGTAGAAACAAATAAAATAAAGAGATTTGGTAACTAAGTATTAAAATGAAACGTATGTAAAAATATAGAAGTATATTAGAAAAAATTCAGGTGATTTAAAGACCAAAGCTAATTTCTATAGTCTTAATCCTTAAAAAGTAAAAATTAAAAAGGCAATTATTCAGTTACATCTGAAAATTCACTTTCACTTATCTAACCAGAAACATAATGCCGCTCTGTAAATGTTTTAAGAGGATTGGAGATTTTATTAAAAGACAAATATATAATGAATACCCTTAGGCGGCTGTTAATTGGTTTAATTTGGCGATATTAAATGTTAGAATTATTTTTAATTAATTATAAAAAAATCCATATGGCTATTAACACATTCAGATACGCTGTTTACATCAGATTTGTTTATTAGTAACAACGTTGCGCCAATAGGCGTTTTGACCTGCATATCTCGCAAAGTCACAAAAAAAAAAAATGTACATTCGCTGTGTACAAGTATGAGTGGCACAGGAAATCCGTTGAGAGCTAGATTAAAAAAACGTTTTTTTCGGAAAACTATTAAAAGGCGCAAGCTGTCAGAAATATGCAGCAACCATGGACATGTTATACAAGTAACCGACGACGATGTAACATCATCACATGAACACCACGGTCTTACAGTACCTATTTTGTATACCTACTTAAAATGTAACGCTTAAATTTTTTCCGATGCTAAATTCATATTTTAATTAAAATTTACCGCCAATATATATTGTGTCGTTCATTGTAAAAGTGAATTATCTCCTAGTAATTTAATTTGGAAATAACGAGCTTTTTGTGAACTAATGTGTAGGAAAACAAATACAAGTATACGGCTAATGACTTATGTTGAAGCCTTATCTTTAATAAAAAAAATAAAAAAATACTAGTATCTATTTATTCAGTGTTTTCTATTTGTTGTATTTTTTTTTTGTATTTATTGGAGTTGCTTCTCTTTCATAACGAAATATTTATGACTTAATGTGACTCCATTAAGCAGAAATATGTATCTTTTAAAAATATGGAGTGCACCACTTTTACAATTAACGGCTAGTATTATAATACATTGTACCTACCCAACGGCGGTTCTGCAGGTCGACAAATCCGGTCCAAACTCGACGCCTAACGACGGCAAAGTGGTGGTTTACCGCATCAGGTCGAGCAAGTGTTGTAAAAACGCCAACAGATTGGAAAAGTACTTACACAAATGGTTTCCGTTTTATTTCTACTGTTACCGAGAAGTGACTTTACCGTTGTGCGAAGAATGCGAATTACCCGTGGTCTGCGAACAGCACACACATAGCGTCTCCAAATTCCAAAATGGCGACTGGACCTTGACGGACCAACAGAGCGTGGTACTAAACATTTCGACGGACAAAAAAATGGTGGACACGTCCACGCAAACCGAAAAGAACGGAAATAAACTCAAACGGGTTTTCCACATTGCTACCAAGAGTACCAACAGACTGGCCCGACGGTTTTTCGTCCGCCAAAGTCAACAGGACGGCCAGCAACAAAATAATCAAAACACATTATGATATTGTTTACATTTTTACAAATCAAACCACCAATCGAGTAACACAAAATCAAAACACAAGGCAACATGTTTTTAACAAAGACACATTGTCAAAATTCTATTATTGTGCGCATATTAAGACAACGCGGACAACGTCTATGGTTTTAAATAATTCGTGAGTCTAGAAATTTCCTAGTTTTTAAAATTTGAGACAACATAATAGTAAATTACATTACAGTAAATACATAAACGTATGACATATTTTTAAAGATGTACGTTTTATAAATACTACGGTGAATAAAATTGTATGTTTTAAAATCTCCAATAGACATGTTATTATTTTTATTAATAATTAATGGTATACAGTGCCGTATTTCCCAGTAAACACTATAAGCTAGTGCTTAGGGCGGCAATTTCTCAAGGGCGGCAAATAATTTTTAAGAACAGACAAATGAATAATACTCGGATAAACATATAATAAATCAGAGAAAAAAATGTATATTATCAAAATATCATGACGTGTACACGTTGGTTATTACAGTATAATGTAATTGAATTAATTTTATAATAATTTAAATAAAATAGTGTTTTATAAAAATATATTAGATTATATCATAATTGGAGGGTTAAGTTCGTCGATATACTGTGTGAGTGACCGAATGACACGAAAGTCGACATTGAACAAAATCTTTTGCAGATAATCCAAGAATGCCTTAGCGTTTCCCAAGCTGTAATATTTAATCCATACCGGATCTTCCGGTACTTGCAGATCTTTTATATCTTGGTCGGACAGACTCGTGTATTTCACTGTGAATTCGGTTTTCTCTAAATCGAACATATCGATGCGACATCCGAGTTTCTGGCAT